TCTGAAACGCGCGCGACGATTTAATATTAATATAAATCCGAACACATCACATACGATCTTGTAAGCAAAAAATATAAAGGTAACATTCTCGCACTCTACTTAATGAAACGAGTGATTCAATTGCGGGTGGCGTTAGTTAAATAAGACAAAAAAAAATAAAAGCTAATCGAGCGTTAAAGGATACCGACTGTTGCGCGATTTATTGATAGAACGAGAAAATGAAAGGGAGAAACGAGATGGGAGGGTGTAACAAGACCGAAGGAGGATGAGTAGAGACGAGAGAGGAGAGGATTTTCTTAAATTGCACTTTGTAGCTCCTGAGAGACCTTACACAGGGATTTCGACGCCCACGGCGAGGGATAACGAGGCGAGCACCGGGGCCCCCCCTTTCGTGGAGGTGAGAGACACACACCGGTGGGTCCATCGTCGCAACGTGCGGCCCACGGGGACATAATTGATATCCGGGAAGAGCAAAAGGGCGGCGGACCGGTGGCGATGCCGCGCGGCGAGCGAGGAAGAAATTACCTCGGAGAGTAGGGGATGGTGAAGAAGACACGAGGAGGAGGAAGAAAAAAAAAAAGAGACGAAGGACCACCGCGATCGTACGGGAATCACCAACTTGCCGAAACTCTGGCAAAGGCCACCTAAGCGCCGACAGATCATCCTCTGTCTCTATCGCTCCTAGCTCCGTAGTTTGTTTCTTCGCTAATCTTTCCCCTTCTCTCTGTCTCTCTCGTTAATTGACGGTTGTGCGCTGTGCAAACACGGAGTGACCACCTCTCTCCGAACTAATTGCTAATCGCAGCTTCGGCACGAATCCCTCCCTCCTACCGGCCATGTTTCTCTTTCGCTCCTCGGGAATTTCGCCCTCGTATATGCACCCCCGAAGTACAAACAAAAGTTTAAATGGTCGAGTATTTAGCGGAATGGGAAAGAGAGATAATTCGATCTCATCGCATACTGAACGTATACGAGACGTGCGCCGAAATCGGCCATTAATTTAAAAATTGAGCGAATGTGTCAATATGTTCAAAAAAGTGATTCAAAGAAGGGATATTAATAAATAAAATGCAAGATCTTACAAGATAGAAAATATGAATATTATATCTTTCGTGAAAGACACGAAGAGAACACTAGTGAATTATTCAGTCTCGAATTTGTCCTCTCTGGAATTTATCTTTTAGTGGTATAAAGTGCCGAGTTTGCTCTTCTATAAAATGACTTTGGATTCTTATATATTTCATCAATATTTAATATTGATTTAAAGATTCATATTTCAATTTCAATAAATTTGCATTTGTACACATTATCGACGTTGCTTGCATTAGCATATACATGAGATACTTTGAGATATTTTAAAATATAGTTTCATATCTGCCAAATGACAAATGAAATTATCACGTGATCTTCTAAAATAAACAAACGCGAGTTATACAATGCAATATGTGGTGCTTTCGAGAAAATGCCAGTTACCGCCATTTGGCAACGTCAACCGTAAATTATAGTACACAAAGCGTACCGAGAATATTTGCAATTCCTCGCTTGCGAATAATTATTACTATCTTTAACTATCTGCATAAATTATAATTTTACGATAATATATTACATTCCACAAAAATGAAGCAAATAGTATCTGATAATATACGTGAAATATAGACTTAAAAACTGAAAACTTTTGCAAGTTTAGGAAATTAGTGAAATAAAATTGCGAATATTATGAAGTCTAATAAATTAATTTTTGAAAAAAATATAATCAGAATTTAATTTTCATAAAACGCTTGACGCTTATTTAACTTAATGTGATACAATATCTTTTTATTGTTAATTAATCGCGTACACTTATACACATTTAAAAACATGTTCTAGTCAAAATAATTAAAATGCACATATCTAATATTAGCTATATTTTCGTGGATCAAAATCATAGTAAAGAAAGTTTTAGTAGTCTCTTTTTTGGTGTATCCAAGTATCTACAAAGCGAAGATCAGTCGATAATCCTCAAATGAATTTTGTCAATATAAAGCAGGTAAAGCCCAGATAAATGGATTAGTCTTTGATGAAGAGGACCTGGATTTTGTGGTACATATAATAGAAACAGCGAGCGCGAGAACGTGTAATAAAAGGACTTCACACTGCAATTTGTCAATTTCGCAAATATTTTCCTCTTGTGAGAAAAATTTTTAATTGTTTTAATACAAATCCATAAAATCTTTATACACATAAGAATTGTTAACTTCCATTCCGCATTAGTTAAACAAATGGTTCTCAACTGGTTATTTCATATGCAACGGAATAAATAAAAAAAAATCGAAATTAAAAATAAAGAAAGACTCTTGAGATCGCCTGTTTAGATCTCATAAATCAAATGTGTCTCTGAATCACAAATGACAGTTATACTTCTGTCCTGAAATGATTGAGTACGCCGAAAACCGTCCATAACGATGTCGAATAGACTTGTACTTGTTTAATTATTTATTTCTTTCCAGATATTCTTATTCGACTCGATTCACATTTATCATAACGATATAAATGAAACGTCAACCTTCATTATTGACCGTTTGCTAAAATTCATGGAGTAAAATCACATTTTTTCTAATCTTCAAAAAAAGTAGCAATTTCAAAATTTCAAATGAAACGTTCGCTTGTCCTATGGAAAATTCTATAGAAAATACTACCTTCAAATTCTCACAAAAGACCGATTTCCGAAAAATGGCTTACGCCACATTTATTCGTCAAAATGAGATGAACCGAGATTCAAGTCCCCTTAAACGTTTAGCAATCTTATCAAAATTATACGGAGATCACAGCTCAGATATGATTCTTACCCTCGCAAGGGAACAGTGACACTATTGCCATCGATGCAATGTAGTCAACGACAAAATCTCACGGTTGATTTTGTCGAGTCTCGTCAAGATTCTCCTTACGCGTCGTTTAGCTCGCGCTTTGGATCGCTTCGATTTGTGCACGAACAATTTTCCCTCTCTCAACGTCAGATCCGTTTACCTCTTCAGGATCACGAGCGAAAGGGAGCATGGAGAAAACCACCAAAAACTTGTCAGCGAGTTTAAGCGCGAACAAAGGCCCACCCGTCGGTTTGCCGTGCCTCTAAACGTTGAGATTATCATTGTGCCGATATTTATCTGTCAGTTTCTAGCCGCGGTTCCTTGCCCGATCATTGTCGTGTGGTAGAACCAGGGAATTCCGAACCGTAGCTGGCATTTTTCAGGTTGACAAATAGACGGACAATGAGACATTCCAACGCGGGTAGAATAACACTATTTAACTACCGTAAACCTTTTTCGTCGACGGTCGCGATCCGGCTTTCGCAAAAACCGATGAAAATCGAACGTGCTCCAATGTAAATTCCGACGCTGCCTTTTAAGCAGATTATATTATATTACAAATTTCTCGTCGAGATTCTCAAACGAAACATGTGCGGAATAAATAACACGTTCAAAGCGGAGCAGAAAATTATATAAAGGAATATATATATATATATATATTATATATATATATATATATATATATCTCAAGCGTACCATAGAGTGATGATCTTCTCTCTTTATACAAAGGAATTTCCATTATACAATCTAAATTTTTTTAAAAAAGTATAGATATGACAATCCGTTAATTTCAAATATTTTTAAAGATAGTAATTAAATAAATAATAAAAATTATTTAAAAAGAAACGTTTCACAGATTGTGTGAAATAAGTTTCGATACTTAATATGGATAGCTTTATTTTAGATTTGTTTACCAGATATGAAAAATTAATTTCCTTCTTTAAAATATACTATATAAGAATAGATCTTGTATAATTTTGCTTATATTTTCGGAGCAATTTTCGTCATATTTTGCATATAAAGTAATTAAAATTTCTATACACTATAAAATATAATGACAATCCGTTAATTTCAAATATTTTTAAAAATAGTAATTAAAATAATTAAAAGTATTTAAAAAGAAACGTTTCACAAATTGTGTGAAATCAGTTTCGATATTTAATATGCATAGCTTTGTAAAACATATACAAGAAAACAATAATAATTTACGTAAAAATTATAATTGTAATTAAATATAATATTCCGTTTAATTAAAAAATAATTAATCAATTATATTTTTATCCGTCCAAACAAAATGTAAAATAGATATCTGTCAAGTTAACGGAAGATAAAAAAGAATAAAGTCATTGTGATATTAGATATGATAGCATTACAATATTAAGTAATAATGTTAACGTAATTTATCTTTTGTTTTCAAACTTAAATAAGAATATACACTAAAATAAAACGTAAAAAATTGTGCAAAAATATTAAAACAAATAATTTCATGTCTTCTATATCGAGCGAGCGTTTCACTGTCGAACAGACAGCACGCTGTAAAACCATCTGCTTTTACAGGGTATATTTGCTCGTTGAATGTCGATGCTAAGAACTTGCCATCCGTGCACAAATCAGACATTCAACGATATCAAAATTGTTATAAACAAATATTATGGTAAAACAAAATAGAAATACTGAGATAAATATAAAATTTAATATTACGATTCTAATAGTTTTAATATTAGAAATATATAGAAAAATTATATATATATATATATATATATATATATATATAAAATTTTTCTATATATTTCTAATGCTTGCAATGATATATATATATATATATATATATATATATATATATATATCATTGCAAGATATGAATTATTAGACGTTCGTTTTAAAAATATTTTGATATATAAATTAATATTTATAAAAAAATCTAAATTTGATCTTTATATAAATTAAAATATACTCTTATTCAATATATTCTTAATTCAAATATATTTTTAAATACTTTATTTGCAGAATATACTCTTTTAAGACTATATTATTTTTGTGCATTAACACATGTATACACAGAACGAAACACGTATATACGTGAAATTATATATAGTACGAAATTATGTGATTTCCATATAGGACAAAAAACATGCACATATGCAATGATATACTCACCACATTGACGAAATCCTGGAAAGTCACTGCGTGGACACGCGACTCTTTGGCTCTAATCAGAAGTATATCACGTTTGTTGGTCGGTATTTCCGCCTTCCATTCAGAACTATTCAAGGCTGTCAAAAAGTCCTCCAGCGGTATCTCTCCAAAACCCTCCGGATCAAACTGGACAATGTAAATAAACGAAATTTAGATCTGATCTATCGAAAATAGATAAATAAACGCGGTAAATCATACACACCTTGTCAAAGAGCATTCGCCATTTCTGCAACATAAAAAACAATAAATTTATTTTAGTTAGATTGAAAATTTAAAAAAATATATTTTGTGGACGAAATTAATTATCTTCCAACATTTTAATTCAAAATCTAGTTATTTTGCTATGCATTCCATAATTCAAAATGCACTATACTTTATATCTTGAAAAAAATAATATAATAGTGTCATAAACTCTCTATTATTAAATCAAGAATTTTTATTGATAATTAATGATAAAGTGTAATATTTTAATGATTAAGAAGAACAATTTCTTTTAATAATTAATAATTAATTGCTAGGCAAGGAGAAATAACAGATCTCATGATTTTGGGACGATGACTCACATCATTAAGTAATTCCCGCCTATATTCGGATTCGTCAATGTCGATCTCCGAAGCCAGATCGGTGTGATCGGTAACGTATCCATCGTAATGCGTGCTATTCGCCTCGCTGCGTGCATACTCTTCCTCCTCCTCGACAGCACCGGCGATGGTCGGTATAGAGACACCGTTTGCCAGTAGCATTACCGCGCGCGGCACGAGGTCACCGGGTGAATCTCCTCATTCCTCCCTCTTTTGCGTACTTCCTGAAATATAAAAGGGCTACGTGCTAAACCGTGCCATTTTTGAAGCCGATCGATTTCGCCGATGTTAACGCTACGATATCGGCCCGATATCTTTCACATTATATCCTTCACGTTCGATATTTACGGGATAACTCTTGATCGTGAATTTGTATAACCCCCCCCCCCCCAGCGATGACTCTTCACAAGTATATCTGAATATTTGATGAGCGCGCTGCATTGTTTCGACGCGAAATATTTCTATTTTATCTTTATTTATTGCTACCTTGTATAAATTAAATAATATTGTGATATTTAAAAGCAATGGAAATAATTTTGTAACTCGATGTAAAAATATATAGATACGCAACATTTTTTTGTAAAAATTGGGAACTGCTATTTTCGTATGGTAATTTGGAGGGTTTGCAGGCGGTTATGTAATCGTTGATGCAAGAAAATATTCATCATGAAGACGACGGAAGTAAGAGTACAAGAGATATTGATCGTCCTTGCACTCCTTAAGGCATATTAGAGTAGTGCCCTTGAAAGTAGCCTGCCATCCTAAAGCGGCGCAATGTGGCACAGCATGTTCGTATGGCGGTGGTTGCCGTTTCCATGGCAATGCATCGATGATGGGATCGTATACCGCCATGGCGCATACTGTGCACATGGGGTGCATTTCGTGATATTAACATGTATCTCGTAATTGCGAGAGATAAATACGATATCCTGAAGAAATAAAAGTACTCTCCCTTAGTTTCATTAAATTAATATCCCTATTTCGAAATTTTAATTAATAGAGTTTTCCCGCAAATAATTCTAAAGTTCCTGATATGCTTCAGAAAGCTCTCTGACAATGAAATATAAAAAATAAGGATCCGAAAATATGGGGTAAAGTTTTTTCATTACATAAAAATTGATAATAACTTTTTTTATTTCAAGCAAAATCGATTTGAGTTATAATAAAACTCTTCGATACGAAAATTAATTTGTTTTAGAGCTTTTTAAAAATGCCAGATATCGAACAAATTTAATTTTTCTGTTAATATAATTACCTTGTATCAAATTATGGTGTATAAAATTTTTTGATAATTAACACTTAGAACGTATTTCATTTTATAGCTCTTATAAATCATAGTACATTGCCTTTTATATATATATATATATATATATATATATATATATATATATAATTACATATATTAAAATAAAAAATATAAAGAAAAATATAAACTCGATCATTGATTAAAAAAAGTAGCAATGAATAAAATATAATGAAAGTTCTTTGCTTAAATTATATAAAATTATTTCTTTTCAAATCTTCGCTTTGTGTGTAATTTAACTATATATTATTCTTTAAATATATTTACTCCTGTATATTTCTTTATTTATTTAAGAATAACTTCTTGATATAATCTACTAATCTGCAAACCATCGCGTAGTTCGATCGACACGAAACCATAACTATAGTGCATCCCATGCAGCCCCGTCCAAACATATCCGATCTCCCTTTTTCTCTTCTTTCTCTCTCTTTATCTCTTCCCATCGTATCCTTCTTTCGATACTCACGCGAGCTACCCTTCGTTTTGGGTAGCGCCGTCCTATTGCACACAGACTACCCCTCGGATAGCGTCGTCTCGGCTCCCGCAAAACCACCCGCATCCCCAACCCGCGTTCTCTCTTCCCCTTATCTAGTTTTCCTCGCAACGATGTCGTAGACGTGTCGTGCAAAACTCGGGGGCTGTTAAACTGAGACGAGCGTAAGGTCATCGACCTTAAAGTTCTACAAAATACGTAGAGTTATTTGAAAACAAAAAACTTCAGAATCTCGCTTCCCCGATATTTTACAATTTTGACAGATATAAAATATACGAGATTACAATAGAAATAGAATAATTAAATTTAATTTTTAGAAACAAAATACATTTAAATACCTTCGATCTTTTTCTATCTACTTTTTAACTATGTCATTATTTATATTTAGTTTACATCAGTTTTAAAATTTTTATATTCAAAATTTTTTAAACATTTCTCCTGTTAACAAATTTTTATAATTATTTATATAATGTAATTATTTGTCGCGATATTAAATAATCACGTAATCAAAATTGTTTTTGCGATGAAGCTTAAAGATTTAATGAAATACTTTAGCACATGCAAATAAAATTTGTCCTTTAAAAGCTTCAATTAATTATTGTGTAATTTAGCTATTAGTTGTATCATTAATAAATTAGGATTTTAACGCAACTTTTCAAATATAAAATTTTACATTAACAATTTGAGATAATTTTTAATACGTTCAAAATTTGATTAAAATTATTATTCTACACAAGGGGGAGAAACGTCCCGATTCGCTCCTGCTGCAGACGTATCCCTTTACAATCCACCCTACCATGGAGTTGTATTACTTTGGACACTCATCCGTGATGCGCTTGTAAGATTTGTACAGCGTGTCACATAAGTCAGTTTCATAAATAAGATGCGACGTGCAAGTAATCATGACACGTTACTGAATACCACGTACTGTAATATCTACATGCGGGTCAATATAATGGAATCTGTATAAGTGTACACCTGCATTTCATGGTAGAATGTTTTTAGAATTGCTTATTATATGCCAACGAGAGATTATTAGCTAAAATACGGGCACAGATAAAGAAAACAAACTGGAATATATTTTTTTATCAATTCTCTTCCGAGAGACACTTTTAAAATACAAACAAAAAGTTGAGTACACTAAACATATTTTTTTACTTTTTATTCATAATTGTTTTTGTAATTTTTACTTAATTAATTTTATTTACTTATTTACTTTATATATTTAATTATTTATATTCATAATTGTTTTTATAACTTTTATTTTTATTTGATTATTTGTATTCATGATTGTTTTTATAACTTTTATTTTATTTATCTATTCTCATGAAATACGTGGCATATTTTTATCATTTTTATTTTATCACATTAAGATTTTTTCATCATTATTTCTTTTTATTCTATTATTATTTCTATATTTTTTATATTATTTTTTTATTGGAATTAAAGAACTAAATTTCAATGCTTTAAATAATCTTAAAATGTGCAATTAGTTTAATTAGAATATTTTAATTATTTGTTTTGTAAAGTACATTTCATTACTTCGGCGCAAATAATATGAATATCAGTATTCGTGCAAACAAACTCATAGATACATACATACGGTATAAATAAACTGAACATTGATGACATAGTTTAAAAAGTAGGTAGAAAGAGACAGAAGATATTTAACCAGATGCTCGCTAAATACAAACGTGCAATACACAAGCATAAAAATAAGCATGAATACAAGAAGGAAAACACTACATTTTCTTCTACACTACAATTCTTCTTTTTTCATCTAGTTTTTATATTAAAGTGAATGCTAGCTTTATTTTTGTACCTTATGTCTACACATTAATATATCGAAATTACATCGATTTTGATTTATTTTATCGAATATATCGAAGTTACATCGAACGTTGCATGTAATATATAGCACACACACTAACCTAATCTAACACATGTGTGGCATATTACAGGAATTAATAATTAATTAATAAAGATTTTACCTTTCGCAGAGAACGTAGTCCGTCGTTGACGAGACGATCGAGGAGCAAACAGGCGCAAAGGAGTACATTCTTGATATCAGAATCTCGTGATTCGTTGGTGACACATTTTGAACTTGTGCGCGGCCGCGATGGAGTAACTCAACGGGACTCGACGCTACGTTCACGCGCAACGCGAAATGTCAATCTCCAAACACTCGCGAGATCGCGAAATCGGATCACGTCGCAATGTCGTGCGATACGCGCGCGAAAATCACGAAGCCGAATCACAAAGAAATGAACATAGCCGCGAAACCAACTGGCCGGCCGGCATCAATCGCTTTCGTCCACGTGAGAATCGATAGGATAATCAAAAATATCTCATCGTGCAAAAGCATATTACTGGCAAAATTAACGAACAAACGAAAAATAATGGACTGTCATCTCTCTCAACAGCCTCGCTTAATTAGTATCCATAATAATACATCACTGAAACGATACATCCAATCAAAAAAAGGAATCGCGTATCGTCCTGCAGAACGACGCACTCAAACGGAACGTGTGATTAGTAACATAAATAAGTCGAAAATATAGATGTGTATTTATATATAATTTAAATTATTAATAAACGCTGAATCTTTTTATAGCAACGTTCTCAATATTCGTCGATCGAATCCAGGTTTCGAAACGAAATCGGCAGCGTGTTTACACTGTACCGTTGCACTCGCGATTGGCCGAACGCGCCATGCGGAACTGCGGCACGCGCGCGATCGATAATACAGGTTGTCGCGTGGCTATGGTGGCGTCGATGGGGGTAATGGCGAGAGCGGGGGGGTGCAGGAGGACGGCGGCGGCAACGGTGGCGGCGATGATCGCACGTGACAAGTCACCTGATCACGTTCAAGCGCGTGCGATGGATCCACACGTGACGAGTTACTCGATCGCGTCCGGGCGTCTACCCGATCAGCTGATCCAGCCTGTGACGCGAGGCAGCTCGAACGTCAAAAACCGGCGAGATCGCTGCAATGTGTTCCCGCTCTCGAATACGATGTCGACGACGCTAGCGGCGGAAAACGCGTCACGCGACTGACGGCGGATCTTGCCGCCCTCGCTGATTCATCCCCGACGTCTCCCCCGCTTATCTACCAACGACCCCTTCGATTCATTTCGCCAACGCGCGCGGAGTCCGTCGCTCCGTTTCGACCCCAACCGTGCCCGTAGATCCGGACGTGTACGTGTGCTCGACATCGCTTTGTAGTAGTCGGCGAGGCGCTAATTAATGGACCCCCGCAATGCGCTTTCCCCGTAATTGCGGAGATCTAGCGCGTTCAATGAGAATTGACCCATAAGAGCGACTCATTTTCGAAATATCGCCATTGTTTCTACAGTTCTTCGACCCTTATTAAGTACGATATATAATACGATAAGAGACAATAGAGATATGATGAGAGGGATTTATATAGTAATTTAATTTCGATCTTCTGAATATTATTTATATGTATTAATATGATTCAAAATTGAATTGAATAATGAAAGCTTCTTGTGCAGTAATTGAATTTTATAAATTTTATTTCTTATATATATGATTAAATGTATTGTGAATAAAAACTACTTTAAAATAGCGGAGAAAATTAAAACATAATTCATCTTTTATTTGATAAAAAAGCTAAAAAATAATCTTGTTTGCTAAAAGTTTTCATTTATTCATACTGCACATTTACGTTTCAGAGGTATTATAAATCTCAGGATATCGACCAACCGTTACTCTAGACATTTCCATAACCATAAATACATTGTCGGTTGTAACGAGAGATCAAAGATTACAAAAAGTCGGTCGCGCGATACAGTACATGTATTACATAAAGCATGCGAATTAAATTTATAACAAGTTGCGTGTATGTATGTGTGCATTGAAAAATAAATTTTCCAGACAAAATCGACAATGTCATGAAATTTTTTTCTCTTATATTCGTCATCCCATCGATATTTTTGTAAACGACACGTCTTTCGATTTAAAAAGGAATAAAAGAAAGAATTATCGATTATTTAAATGATATACTTACACCATTATTAGTTGCATAATCTAATCGTGATGGTGATGACGTAAGTTCTTGTGAAAGAAGAATAAAAAATATAGAACAAAATTTTTTAATTTACTTAAATAAACGATTTTCACGTAATGGATCCATAATGAATCGACGAGGATTATGCATTTAATAGACGGTGATACAATACATATCAAACGATGATTTTACCGGTAGTTTCGAAAGATGCTTTTTACGTAGCTTCTAGAATGAATATAGATGACAGTACCGAACAAGACTAGCGAGCGTTCCGCGATTACCGCTCTCGGTTCTTCTTCCTATTCTTGACAACCAGTCATATGATCGTGCGTGGTTGATTACGCGTCGCGAAGTGTTGCTCTTACCATCTCGCGGAAATGACATATTAGGTTAGGACAACACTGTCAAGTATCACCATGCCTCGAATTTGACGTGGAGCTCTTGCGCGAGTCTGACCTCAACATACGGAGACGGATGAGGAACGGCAACAAGGAGACCATGTCGTATCTACGCGATTGGCGACAGGCGTTGCGCGCACCACATGTTTACCGAGTAGCGAATAGCACCTTTCGCATTCAGAGCCAGTTCCTGGCGCTCATTCTCCTCGTGCTGAGCGTTCCGATCATCTTTTTGGCGTATCCGCTGTTGCGTAGCGTCGTGTGCTCGCCGCCAAATCAGACCCTCACCCAGTGTCGTTATTACAAGTATAATAGAACGTATCCCACCTCGACACCCATCAGGACTTCCAAGGGTATGACTTACAGGATAGCGATAGTGAGCGACCTGGATGATAATTCCAAGCTCCCAGATAAGAGAGACACGTGGTATAGTCTCATGAAGACTGGCAGTTTGTACTGGAATCCTACTACTAATTTTCTATCTGTTATCTGGGACGATAGAACTGTCACATTGTCCTCGTCGCTGTCTATGAAAGGACGTGGAATGGAATTGTCAGAATTGGTGACGTTTGACGGTCGTCTATTGTCCTTTGATGATCGTACAGGAATGATATATTTCATTGAAGGTGATCAAATTTATCCATGGGTTATTTTGATGGATGGCAATGGTAAAAACCACAAAGGTATGTAAGTTGTACGGCAAGTAATTAATATTATTGTTCGTATATAGCATGCAAGATATTCTTTTTATCTATTTTTAGGGTTTAAGTCTGAATGGGCAACTATCAAAGATGAACAATTATATGTTGGCAGTATGGGAAAAGAATGGACTACGCCGTCTGGTGAATTTGAGCATAATAATCCATTGTGGATAAAAGTAGTATCGCCACGTGGCGAGACACATTCCCTCAATTGGATTTCTTACTACAAACGATTAAGGCAAGCGATTAACATCGAATATCCAGGTATGAGAATACTTGTAGATTATGACTACGTGAATTAATTCATTATATGTATACTTTGCATAGGTTATATGATACATGAATCTGGAGCCTGGAGCGATATACATAAAAGTTGGTTCTTCTTGCCCAGAAGATGTTCTCATGAACGTTACAATGAATCGAGAGATGAGAGAATGAGCTGTAATATCATGCTAACTGCTGATGAAAACTTTATTGATATTAAAGTATGTTTTTGATATTTGATTGCCTCAGATATATTTAAATATCTTATTAAATTGTAGTAACAATTTTGAAATTTATTACAGGTTACTCATGTTGGAGATTTAATTCCAATCAGAGGTTTCTCCAGTTTCAAGTTCCTTCCTGGTTCACAGGATTCTATCATAATAGCATTGAAGACTGAGGAATATCAAGGACACACTGCTACATACATCATGGCCTTTACAATAGAAGGAACAATAATAATGCCAGAGAGCAAAGTGATGGACAAAAAATTCGAAGGACTAGAATTTATATGACATTCCATTTAGGAATAGTCAACCATTTAATAAAATTGTAAATAGATGTACAGAGAATGCATAACTTTAAATTTCTATTACATTAAAATTGCTGCAAATCTGATGAGTATATATAAGCTAAGATCGTTTCTTTGAACGATATTGCTACATTCAAAACGCCAGGGTACAAATTTTATTCTCATTCTTAACATAGACTATAGCAATTACATAAGAATATATACACAGAGTGATAATTGTAAATAATGTATGTATATATTAATGTATGTATATACTAATCAATGTACTTTGAATCAATACTTATATTGTGTTTTATATACAAAAATTTGTGCGATTATGTTAAAAACAGAGAATATAAGATATATATTATTGATATATTTCATTGTATGTATATCATACATTTGTTCTCCATTATTTTGCTAAATTATTTTTTTTTATTAAAAAAATATAGTCAATAAAAATATAATTCAAGCAAATATTTCCAAATGCAAATCTAAAACAAAGAATTATGTTAATTTTAGCTATATCTAACACACTTGTCTTCATGTTTTTTGAATTTTAAATATAAAATTTTAAATATATAATTGTAGGTCAAATTTTCTTTTGCGTTTTCTCGTTCTGCGCGTTCAGGGTCACGATACTTCTAGACGAAAATCAATAATACATGTATATATCTAGACAGAAGGTGGTGGCAGCAGCATTGCGTTTCTTCCACAAGGTTTAGTCAACCCGATGCACTGCGGGGATACAGTTCGTAGCTCGAACGCGTTACAAACGCGCACTACGGTTCGCACGCAGTTGTAACACTTGCTGGCTATCTGTTTCGAGAAGTGCACGTTGCACAATATCCGGTTAATTATCCAATTGTCATGAACTGAAAAACGGAAACGACGTTAAAATTTTGCGTCTCATTTAGAGCGGAGTTTTTTCTGCAACCTGGATTTATACACTTGCATTTAGATAAGAATAAAAATCGTTCTTGCTCCGAAAATCTCAAAAAATAAGAACACTCAACGAAGGATTTCGGCCATTTATCGTATAAGTGTTATAAAAAAGAAAGATTAGTAAAAATGCATTAAAAAAGATTGCAAAGAATTACATATAATGACAGAAAGTTACATAACGAATACGCAAGTGATTTAAATTCTTAATCACATTAAGCATTTATCTGTGTGAGAATATTTTATTGCATAAAAAGAAACAAGTTCGCCGTATTTAATGCTTCGAGAATCAAGCAAAAAGAACATAATTACCTATTTAATTCAACATTAATATTTAATGTTACTAGGAAGGAATGTTACAATCCTTAAATATGAAAACCGCATTAAAAGCAGTTTTTCCTCCATTATTTTTGCAAGGAAAAAATGCAGCGTCCGTAAAGATGTTTCGTATCACTTCTAATATCGACGATAGCAAAATCGCAAAGCGATTGGCACTTTCGTGACGTAAATGATTATATATTCGTGGACTGTATTTTTCCTGTAACTGTCAAATTTGTTTCTCGAGACAAATCAATATAGAATAAGTCAACAATTATTTAGCATGCTCGCGAAATAAGTGACCTTGATACAAATCTCGACTGATGAGTCCCGCGTGGTGGACAGATGTTGTCCACTTGATCAACACGTGGCCGACAGGTTCGCAAAAGATTTTTATCATCTAAATATTATCTTAAAATCATTTTCGAACATAATGGCGGCGGGGGAAAGCTCGACCAAGGACTGGAACGTGGCTAGAACCGGTATCTCCCTGCTGTTGAACAACAAAATCGAGGAGGCTGAGGCTCTGTTTACCGAGCATCCTTATAGCTTCCATGTCAAAGCCGGCCGCTGCTTTGTCCTCTTCATGGTATGTAATCGCGTGATGAGGCATATCGATTTCACAATACGCTCCGACGAAGTATACTTAACATTCCAAGGCCGCGAAAGGATGTTGTTACCTAATCGGTTTTATTAATAAACGTGAAAACGTATGCATCGGAAAATAAAAGATCAATATATCAATCTTTAGTATAGGCAGATTAAATAAAGATTATATTAATTCCGTTACATGATAATAATGAAACAACGAAAAAAAAACTTGAGTATTTTAATAGTCTGGGAATTTTTAATGTAATGTAATGAATTCTTGCAGAATGCTTTGATGACTTTCGAAGATGATAAGCTTCAGCAAGCCATATTATTGCTTAAGGATATGGAACGGGAATGTGCGGGTGATATTGGATGGCTAAAGTCCGTGAAAAGTAAAGTGTTTCGAGCAGAAGAGACCGGCGTGAGTGTTTTTTTTTAAATATTGTCATAGTTTTATCTATAATTAATTTGAATTTTCATAATGTTTGAATTTTTTATGATATAGAAACTTCCTGTAATTAATTATAACAATAACAAGTAAAATAAAAAATTAAAAGAGTTTTTATACATATATTAAAAATTATAGAGCAAGATTATTGAAAAGGAGTCGGATCAATAGAGAAATAATAAGAAATTAATTTCAGAAGGACTATGTGAATAAATTGGAGCGCCAAATCGTTCTGGCAGATTCGCAAGTTTGCTCGGCCATATTAACGCTTCTGCAGCAAGAGCTAACCGGATACGTCCGTGGTGGTTGGATGCTTCGTAAAGCTTGGCGAGTTTATCAGCATGCGTATACTCAAATCTCGCAGCTATATCGTCGGACCTTTGGTACAAATCCGACGGGTACGTCATCACATTTATCTGATTCATAACGCGATACGGAGAGATTTAGAAAATTAAATTTTTAATTTTCTATCATAGTAAAAAAATTTTGAATTCTAATAATATTTAAATTTATAGTAGAATTAATAAGTCAATCATAATTCAAAATTTGTAATAATTTTAGTAATTAAAATCAGATTGATTTAATTATAGTTGCTCAAAAAGTTCTTCTCGCATCGATTATTATTTTCTAATATATATTTGATAAATTAATTGTGTTTTTTTATAAGGCATTAATATCTTACAAAACACAAATTCTGTCAGATATTTTTGATAATTTTATTATTTTTTATATTATTTATAGGACTCAGTCCATACTGCGGCACTCCCACGAGCAACGGATCCTCTTTGCAGAGTCCGCAAAGTCCAGAATCCTCGGAATGGTCGATTCCCTCCTGCAACGGTTACGTGAACAACATGACACCCGTATCGTCGCCATCAGGTCTGCGAAGCTCTCTATCAATGTTCTTCTCGCTCACTGGCATCACCTCCGAACAACAGACACCGTAATTGTTGTTTCTTCTTACAAAACTTCTCGTTTCTTTTCGCCCTCGTCCTCTCCGAGAAAGAAATTTGTCGTTGATTGTGTATCGACACCTTATATTCTGTATAATTCGGTGAACGATAAATTCGGGCCGGTAAACTCACACACTTGCTTCGCGCACTTGCTTCGTGAAAGATTGTGCAGCTAGCTTGGATCACCTTGCTTCGTTCCTTTGTTCACATGTTTAAATTCGCGCGGATCTTAGCATTAAAAATGTAATTAAAGCGGAATATATTTCGCAGCTTCGTGGAACCTACGGAGGTGACACGTTTAATGTCGGCCGCGAGTTTCGGTTATGGTATATACCAATTATGTGTGAGCCTTTTGCCACCGTCTCTATTGAAAGTAATCCACTTCTTGGGCTTCGAGGGTGACAGACAGGCTGGTCTTACCGCCCTTATGTACGCACGACTCAGCGAAGATATGCGCGCACCGCTTGCCACGTAAGTTTGAATATAAAATATCCTAAATATAATTTTTTTCAAAGCAATGTGTAGAATAATGAGACATTTATATATTTCCTAAGATTGTTTATCGTTGCTGTTTTCTTATGTCAAATTTTCGTTGTTTATTTGATTGATTGTATATTATAATTTAATTATAATAATATTATATAATAAATTATACTTTTATTATAATAATAAAATATATTCATTTTTATATTTATATGTTAAGTTTAGAGATATATTTCATCTATAATGTGTAGGACTAGTTGATCGAGCATTATGTTGCAATTTTACTTTAGATTGTCCCTCCTTTGGTATCACACAATCGTACGTCCGTTTTTCGCACTTGACGGTTCCAATGTGAAAGCGGGTGTCGCAGTAGCAAAACAGCTGATAGCTGAATGTCACACTGAATTTCATAATTCTGCACTCTTTCTCTTCTTCGCTGGTAGAGTGGAACGTCTAGAGGTACTAATAAATTAATCAGTTAATTATTAAATATACAGATGCATTGTCTTAAGATTTTTATCCATTTGATATAAAATATCTCTTTTTTATTCATCTTTTTTGATTTTATGAGTGCAACTATATATAATATTTTTCACCGTTGCATAAGTATTTGTATAATCCAATAATGTTGTCTTATAGTCAAACGTCGATGCAGCCCTTGAAGCGTATGGCAAAGCTGTGGAGATTTCGACTCAGCGTGAAATCAAATTACTATGTTTGCACGAAGTGGCTTGGTGTCATTTGATACGTTTGAGCTACGAGGAAGCGTATCGATCCTTGTTGCAATTGCAACATCAGTCTAGGTGGTCCAAGAGCTTCTACGCGTACCTAGCCATGGGTAATTTCAACACCATTCTGGCGTTCGAATACGCGAGCTCGAATTTCTTTATTATATTATCTTTGCAGTTTGTTGCGGAGCAAATAGCAAATTTGACGATCTCCTAACGATTTACGACAAAATACTTCACTGGTTTGACGAGATGAACAGGGAGACGCAACTCGGCGCTTTCATTTTGCGCAGAGTGCCGAAACTCATCGACAAAGACACCGGACGTCCATATACAGTTTTGTATTATAGATTGCTTGTATACGAATTATTGTACTTATGGAATGCTATGCCGTCCTGTTCCACCGAATCGCTGCGTGGAATATTGTGGGGTAATAATCGATTGATTTTCGTTCATTGTGTGTGTGTGTTCCTCGATAAAATCTCAAGTAACATAAGAATCAAAAGAATTAAATAATTGAGATATTATTTGGATATCTTTAATTCAACATTCTTTTAATCCTTTGTATCAAAAATTTCTGTATTTACCGATATTAATTCTATTATCAGAATGTAAGAGAAATCACTCAGAAGAACCGATGGTGGGTCTGGCTGCTCTCTTGGAAGGTGCAGCATCCTTTTATTTGGGAGACACTGAAGCGGCTATTAAAAGTTATCGAAATTGTCTGAAATGTAGGTATCCGTCCAAGGACGAATACGATCAGCACGTTAGTGCGTTTGCTCTTTACGAACTGGGAAGTAACCTTTGTAACAATAACGTAAGTATACGAGTACTAAACATCTGCTATCTGCGTTAAATTCTTTTTTATATTATTGCAAATTTTTATTTCTACACGGTAGCTTTTTCATATTTCAGAATCTCAACGAAGGCAAAAGTTTTCTATTGAGGGCACAAACTCAGTACAGAGATTACGACTTTGAAAGTCGACTCAACGTGCGTATACATTCCGCCCTGAAAAATATACAGTGACCTCAATTCGTAATCGTCCGATATTACATTATAATATAAAATAGCCTTAAAACAGCAAGAAGCACATTTACATTCCATGGATCCGTCAATAATATTTTACGTACGTTTTATTCGATCTGAAGTATATATACTTCAGTTAATAATAAAGATCAATACAAAGATAAAATTAACAATGCAGACAATCTATATCTGTACCTAGGGATATAATTTTATGGTGTTTTACTTTTATTTTTATTTTATTTTATTAATATTGTGCTATATACACATACACATATATGTATATATGTATGTATATATATATATATATATATATATATATATATATATATATATACAAGTATAAAAGAATATTAAAAATATTACAGAATTCCATATTATAATTTCAAAAATGAAAAAATTTAAAAGCACATACAAGTGGACATTTTGAAATTTGTTATACTTACTTATAAGTCACAAATTTTACAAAAATATATATGCTAAACTTTCTAATAGACAGCTGATTCATATAAAATGAATGTTTCTTTCGTCTAAAAAAATATATATACATAAAAGAATTAGATCGTATTTCTCGTTGCACAATCATTTGTACAAGCAATTCACTTGTAATCATGTAAATACATTTAATAATGTCTGTATACTCACTCTGTACATATATATATCCTGTACATCTGCAAGTAACAAAAGAATAGTGTATGACAATATATTTGAACGTTTCATCAAAAATAAAATGAAGATTTTCTTTCTATCTAAAATTATTATTTTGTCACTTGCTCTTTATTATGCATTTTTGCTCTATATATGTATTTTTTCTGTTCTTTATTTTTTTCCCTCCACATTGTATATAACAATCTATTTTGGGACTCGCTTTTCATTTTTTTACAATATATCGATTATGTATAGCCTATAGGTTTATAGTAATCGTCGTGTTAATTCAAACTTTGACATATACTTTTAGCGAAACACGTGCAATTACATCGGTAACAAGCATCGCCAAAATCTGGCATGAATTCATCTTTATTCGACTCTTCTTGATTTGTCCTTCATATTTTAAAAGCGCTTCAAACACAAGTGCATAATGAAACGACACTAATGAGTGCGCGAAATACTTTTTGTTGTGTTAACGCAGGAAATTGTCCGGGTACTTCAGCTAGTTGCAATCAACGATTCGCATGGTGTACGAAACTAATCAAACCTTTCGTTTTCTGCATCATCACGTCAATGCTCGGTATGTTGGAGAGTGACCCGATTATTTAATTTGCTAAAAGTTTCAGTAAACTATTTCTATATGTAATCTTATAAACATAATATGTGTATGAATGTTATATTAATTAATTTAGAAAATTAATTTAGAAAGAGTTTCTTTCAATTTTTAGCAATGTCCGTATCCCATCTTTGCGATAAATATTCTGCTAATGCGTCATTCAAGATGATCAAGGCAGATTTGAGAAATTTGAGAGCTCATTTAGGAACTCTCTCGGTAATTGTTTATTAATAAGAACGATTTCACGTGATATTTTTTTACATTTTGTTACTGATTATTACACGATATGAGAAACGCTCTGCTGATTCCGTAAAAATTGCATTAGTTGGAAGTGAAAAACGTAATTGAGATGCGCAACGAATTGAAGAGCAAATTGAAGGAAGTGGGCAACGTGATTCCGAAAATGTCAGAAGCTATTCTCAATCTGAGGAAGGAAGTGTCCGAGGGTAAGGAAGGTGCGATGTGTAAATGTTGACCGGATATTGCGCCCAGTGCAGTGGCATTTCTTTGACGTCAAAGATATCGATTAAATAAGTAGAGCAACATATTGCACAGCTTATTTCCATGTCGACAGATTCTTGTTTGTGACAAAGTAAAAGCCTTTCTCTCTTTTTCTTTCTTTTTCTATCCCTTTCTATCACGCGCGCATATTGTGACTATTTGGATTGTATTTTTATCTTTATTTTCCCTGCTTGTCTTTTGTTAATTATTAACATTTATCGCTAGTATATATTGTGACAGAAATGAATCTACACACGAAGAACTTGCTGAAGGCTCTATCACTAGAAACCGTCAAAGATATGGTGAGAAACGAATTACAAACATATGATGCCGATAAAACTGGAAGGACGGATTATGCTCTTGAAAGTTCAGGTTTTATTCAACAGTCTATTTTTATTTAGCTTTTTCTATACCTAATGCATTAATTAAAAAGGCAATCTTATGACCTGTTAATAATCTCATGCATAAAAAGTGAATAAAATGTGGCCTTTAAACTTCCTTTTTTTCAGCTCTTCAGCGTAGAAAAATAACACACTTTTTTATAATAACAATCAATTTTTGTTTAAATATATAACTTTTCTCAAAATAACTATCATTTAATCCTAAATATGTTATGAATTATGTGCAATCAATTTTTCCTCAATGTAATTAAAATTATTTAAAAAACTGATATTTTATTAATAACAATCAATTTTTGTTTAAATATATAACTTTTCTCAAAATGACTATCATTTAATCCTAAATATGTTATGAATTATGTGCAATCAATTTTTCCTCAATGTAATTAAAATTATTTAAAAAACTGATATATTTTATTAATGAAAAACTGACACACGCGTGTCTCTCCAGAGACGTATTATCACATGCATTTTTAAACACAGGTGGTACGATCCTTTCGACACGTGATACCGAGCCCTATTCGACCGGTGCACCTGTACTCAATCTGTTCGGCATACCGCTTTGTCAGCAGCAAAATACACCCCGAGCCGTGATACAGGTTACCTGAATATATCTAATTCACTTATCATTCTGACCCGAAAGTATTCACCAGACCGGCGTTTTGCCGGGCGAATGCTGGGCCTTCAAAGGTAGCCGCGGCAGTGTGGTGATCCGACTACTTGGCCAGGTGAACGTGTCCGGAATCAGTCTCGAACATATTTCCCCGTTGATATCCCCGACTGGGGAAACCGCCACAGCTCCTAGAGATTTTTCCATTTGGGTAAACCGACTATTTTATATAGCTATATATAGCTATATATTAATTATTATACGTACATGTTATTTTAGGGTTTGACAGATCTCGAAGATGAGAAGCCTTTTTCATTTGGTACATTCACGTATGACAATACTGGTTCACCATTGCAATATTTTGAGATCCAGGTAGAATATTGGATACTTTTAATTAATATTTTTCATATAATTTAATATTGCCAATTTTTTAAATCTTTAATTATATGAAATACAAAATTAAAACTAGAATCGATCGAAAGAAGCATATGAGATAATCGAGTTGAAAGTCCATTCCAATAGTGGTAATCCAGAGTATACGTGTATTTATAGAATACGAGTGCATGGTACGCTTAATCGAATATGAATTTAAAACACAACAGGTATTTGAAAATTATGATTTTTTCAAAGTTATGGCAAATCCATAAAATATAATTTAACAAAAAATATATTTTAAAAAGAAACTAGAGAAAAATGGATCACATACAGCTATGTCAGAAGTTGAAAAAGTTGTATTTCTTTAACTTTTTAAAATATAAGATTAACAATTATTTGTGTAAATTAAATATTTGCCATGTAAAATTAAAATTTTCATTTTCATATATTTTTGTGCATAGTCATTATAAAATTTTGTGATATTACAAAAACATTAATTCGATATAAAATAATATACATTTACACGATTTTGAGATTAAATTCTATAAGATTTATTTTAATTGAGAAATTAATTATTAATTTTATATTTTATGATGCTAAAAATGCTTTGCGCAATATCAAATTCATAAATCTCGAAATGTATTAAATCTATCAACTTTTCATATAGCTGATTCATCCATTCTTCCTTAAACAAAATGTAACTTATAACGGATCTTTTGTATTATTTATAGAAGATCTTTTGTAATTTATAGAAGATTTCTGTGTGGGATGAATATAGATGTACTAAACGCGTTACCGCTTAATCATCAAAGGATCCATTATCGTAATAATGTAATATCGATTATGCATTGGGTGTAAATCAGGGCTTGTGGGTGATTGTTCAATAAAAAGAGCGAATCATCTCAACGTAATCGTCGCTCAATTTATTATATTTGTACATATTTAGTTCTCCTTTGACTCTATTATTTCGAATCTCTCCTCACGCGTTCTCCGTCACACACACGTATCCCACATTCTGTCATACCTTCCCGGCTTCGGATGATGAAGGAAGACGTGAAAATTTCACGTTTCACCAACCATGTCGGGCGCATACACGCAGAACATCAGACAGACAAGAAGGACGCTCCCTCGGCGGTGCTAAGTGGACACCGTTATTACATCATTATCGTAATTAAAATAGTATGTTATACATTTGGGGCCGGCGACGGCCCGGTATTTTTGGTTTTTGCTTCTTTGTTCCGTTTAGTTATAGCTTATAGTTTCTCTTCCCTTCTAATTCGACGATTACGCACACTGCCTTCTCTACGGGCGAAGAACAGACTCGAGAGGCACACACGCTGCGAGTTTCGATATACGATATTTCTCTCAATTAACGCATGCACACGTATGTAAAATCGTATAACTAAAATGATTTTTACTTATCTCCGTTCTCTTTTTTAGACCAATTTTTATGCATTTCTCTTTCTCCCTTTTATTTTTTTTAAACACATGTCGAACTATCCATATCATACGTGTGCAGCTGTGATCGGCGAACTCGCGCACAATCGCGATATCGGCGCGTGTCTAGAATAACTATAATTCGGAGGTCAGTCGTCTAACGCTATCGAGCTATCGAGAGCCGGTCGTGGTGCCAAAGAGACGCGCGCACATGTACGTAAACACATGGATACGTAATTATCTCTCTACTTCCCTTAAAATGTCTAACATGATCCGATGCAGTGATTTCGAGCGGCTCGTTGCTTTTCACTAAACTTGCTACTAATATTTGCTACGTCGTCTCCAGTCGAGATTTATCACTAGAACGACCAAGTCAATCATTTAAATCTCTCTCTCTTTCACTCTCTAAATACTTTTTTTTAATAAAAAAAATATAAAGTGTTTATAATTTTACTTGTAAAATTCTTATCTTCTTTCATATATATATATATAAGAGTGTAATAGTATTTTATATAAAGTTTGATATAAGTTATCAGTTACAGTTACTTTAGTTAAATAACGATTGATTTGAACATCTTGATTTGTAAAAAATCATTATCTCTAGAAATAATTGATTGTAGAAATATAGCGTTATTTGCAATAGATAATAAATTCGCATCGAAAAAATACAGAGTTCGAGATATAATGAAGCGCTAGTTTGTTTACACAATATAATTTTTCTCCGCATTATGCGCATTGCTTATGTGTGTATGTGTACGTGTGTGTTTATAAGAAATCATTTTTCTAATTAGAAAAATAATTTTTTTCAGCCGTTCTAGTGTTAAGCGCAACTCCGCGTTCGTGTAACGTTTCTGAAGGAATTGCTCTTAAACTCGACGCGTCGCAGGAGCGTCGCTCGACTCGAGATTTTGTTAGGCTTTTTAAACGAAACACAACATCTCGATCGAGCGATCGATCGATCAACGATTACTGCTAGATTTTTTTTCTTCGAAGCAACGCGGCGCTCCGGGCGCGCGTTATAATGTATGATTTTAACGACTATACCTTCGACTCGACCTAGGACTCGTCGTTCGCCATTTTGTCGCAACTGAGAAAACGCGGGCACCACCACCGCACGAAGGTTCGTCAACGTTCGTAAAAGGCATAGAGTTGTTTACTTTTACTTTTTTTTTCTTGTTAGATTTTTACTTCGACAATCGTTAAATATATTACCGCACGCGGTAGTATCAAAATAAACCACACCAAGTGTAGAGTATAGAATATTCGTAGATGTATATGTACAGTATAGAGTTTCTATTTATCTCTGCTTTGTCTCTCTATATTTTAATTTCCCGCGAAAGCCACCCAGCATTGGTATTCGTTTTATTAAAAAGTCAGCTACGTTCCTAAATTGTTGCTGTCACTGTTGTTGTTGTTACTGATGCTGTTGATGCTGCTGATGTTACGGTTTCGTACTGATATTTGCCGTTACCGTTAGGAAATACACTACGATTAAAGTATATCACAGATGTCAACGAGAAGAACGCTCTAATTGAAAAGAGTAAATTCAACAAAACGAAGATAAATCACAAGTTTTGGACGCCGATTATCAATAATTCCCACAATCAATCGATCACTTCTACAATTCTAGCCGAAGAGAAATTACTCCATAAAAATTATAAACGATCTATATATTATTTCAAAGTGTATAAGATTAAAAATATTTATCATATCCTTTTTATATGAAGAGATTTTAATTTGATTATTCTAATCTCTGATTATAATGATCACGCAAAGTTTATATCGCAATTTAATTAATTAATTAATCATATTAATCGATCAAATAACAATATAATTTATATTTTATATCGATCGATTGTAGACATATTTGATTTCCAATCGGCTTATCCGCGCGAGAATTCGAGAAAAGTTAGAGAATAAGGAAAGGCGAGACAGTGTGGTCCAATTAATTGCAGTTTTGTCGCGTAGACCCGACAAAAAGATCTCTCTTCTAGCTATAAACTACTGAAATTCTCTCTCTAATTTTTATCGACGCGATCTACGTCGTTCTTCTTCCTACCAATTCCTACGGATCGACTTCCACGACACTTCGAAAACGGAACACGAGATCAGTTCCGTTGGCAATAAGAGATTGTCATAGGTTTTAAAATTGCGCGTTACATGCGCGTTACATGCGTATATGTTCAGCGTAGCCATTTTTTGCGCTACGCATCAATAATATTCCCCTGATTACATTATCTCTCGTTCGCTCAATCATATCTCGCTTACGCGATTCACAGGGTATGTTTCTTTTTCATATTCCCTCCAGCTGTCCTCGGATACTCTTTCTAAATACTCGACTGATTCGTTTTTTTTTCTTTTTTTTTTTTTGGCAAGTTCGCGGCGGCGAAGTGACTAGAAATATAACGACTATATTGTCATGCACTACAGTCTTTCTTAGAGCCCTTTCTCGAATCCCTCCCACGCGACCTCTCTTTACCATGATATTTTTCATCCTATGGTGTATCGCCTACAAAATCTCCCGCCGCCATAGTACGTACATTTAGAAACTACTTCGACTCGTTCGCTCTGCATTAAGAGGGATCCAACGGTCCACTGACGGAGGACGGTCTCTCGGATGTCTCTTTGTTTTCGTCGTCGTCACCGCCGCTGCCTCCGCCACCTCCACCGTCCCTCATTGTCGTAGCGGAGGAGACGGTGGTCGAGGCGTCCAGGGTCTCGTCGTCGCGCGTCAATCTGCCGCCGCGTCGCTGCCCGTTGCTGCTGCTCGCCGAGTCCGTGTCGTCCACGTAAATCCTCACGTCGGATCCGATAGCACCACCCTCGCCGATATGCACTCCACCGCTGCCGCTGCCACTGTTCCTGCTACCGTTGCCGCTGCCGCCGTTTCGGCTGCCGTTGCCGCTACCGCTGCTGATGCTACCGGCAACGCTGATGCCAGCGACGCTGATGCTGGCGACCGCACTGAGGCTGCCGGTCCCGGTGCTCTCGCTGACATTGCCACACGGTGACGGGACCTCGTCGGATCTATCCTCGGTGGTGACGTAGATATGGCTGTAACCCTCGCCGCGGATAATCGCGCTATACTGATCGCTGGCGATACTGGCGGTAGCGCCACTGGACGTGGCGGTGACATCGTGCGTCGTCTTCAATTTGGATGGCCTTCTTTCGTTGATGACGGACTGCACGTCGAGGTCGTCCTGGGTCGTCGCCGTAGTCTTCGACCTTGGCTCTTCCGGTCGAATCTTGCCGCCAGCGTAGCCGTTCGCGATGCTGAGTGTTCTACTGCTGCCGGCACCCGCGCTCCCGCTGTCCGGCGATTGTGATGGTGATTGCGTGTCGCTGGATGTCCGGTAGCTCATCGTCGCCTTGGACGGGTAGACCTCGGCGGTCGGCATGAGATAACGATCGCTGATCACTTTCGGCGGAACGCTCAAGGTGCTGCTCGAGGCAGTAGAAGTGACCAGCGAGGAGCTAGTTGGCGGCTTGCTTACACTCAGCAGAGACTTATTCTCACGCGTTTCAGTAGTGATCACCTGTAAAATCGATATGTCCAGTTATATTAATATGTAACTTGGATTTTAAATGTTAGTTTTCTTAACAAAATTTTTTTACTAAGAATCTTAATAGATAATATATACCTTTTGCGGAGAGAGTCTTAATATATACATATATTATATAATTTTTCCGAAGATAACTTTGATTTATGATTTCGAAAAATTTATTCAATAGTCATCAGGTAGATGATAGATATAATTTTAATTATATTTTTTAAGATGGCTCATCTCTGGTCTTTCTTACTCGCAAAAAATTATATATAAATTTAGTGTGTAAAGTGTATATAAATTTACATTATTGAAAAATGTAATTCTTTCTTTACCTGCAACTTTTGATGTTGCACATGACTAGGATCTTGACTAGCGACGCCGTAGCTACGATGTGGAATAATTCGAGGCACGCTCAAATTGCTCACAGGCTTCTCAAAGACCTCGGCGACCTCGAAATGCATTGGCAACAGTGATCTTCGTTGATGGTGACTCGAATGGAAGGTTTGCCGGCGTTTCGACTTAAACTTGGACGGTCTTGAACTCGAACGGTAATACGAACTACGACGTTTCTCGTCCAAGGACACGGAAATCGAGGTGTCTGGAAGACAATCGATTAATTTGATGATGAAAGACATGATGATAGAGAAAAAAATATTGCAATAATCTATATGCCAATAACTAGCATATCAATTACAATAATCGATAATGCTCTTACCATCGATATTTCTCTCTCTCGGTGGATTGTAAATAAAATTTGCAGGAAGAGACTGAACTTTGGCCAATCCTGGCCTCGCGGGTATTTTTACATTCCCTACCATAGATACGCGCTCTTTATCTTCATCGTCTTCATCGTCATCATCTATTCTACCATTCATCCCTATGTCATCTTCATCTTCCTCCTCCACTTCAAGAAGCTCTTCCTGCTCCGCGGCTAATTCTCTCTCCAACTGTGTTTCCATATCGAGTTCGTCTTCCATCTGAAATTATAACATTGTATTTCAAACTTTTATGATCAAGATATGATCAAAAAATAAATCTGTTGGAAATCGTTTGAAAACGTTACCTGTTTGTGACTTTCTTCCAGATGTTTCATCAGCACAGCAACAACGACATTCACCAATACAAATTGGGCCATTAAAACGAAAATCACAAAAAATATCGGCGCAATAATAGTGCTCACACAACAATTCTTGACACAATCTGCTGCATCATCGCAATCATCCCTCAGCGTGTCCTTCATGATACCATTCCAGTTGTCACCGGTAGCAACTCGGAAAAGCGTTAAGAAGGCCATACCAAAATTACTAAAATGCGCGTGCTCACCAAGACCTTGGCAAGGCATTTCATCGTTGCATTCTGTGATGGAAAATATCATTCGATTTAAATTAACCTATCTCTTTATAAATCTTTTGAAAATTATATAGATGTTTAAATTCTTGTGATTATAATAAAAAAAATATAATTTTTTCACGAAAGACAATCGCGAATAATTCATAAAACTATCATAAATCTTTGTTAAATATATTTAAGGTATTAGTTAGAACAATGAATTTTAGAAGTTATTTTATTATGAAAGAAAGCAAAAATTTTTTCTAAATTTATTTAAAAAGAATAATTATTATAACTATTTGCGTAATTAATCAAGTTTAATCATTGAATGTATAGTTACCTAGCCGGCCGAAAAGTTCCACTCCTAGGGCGGCAAATATAAAGAAAAGTAAAAAAAACAATAGTCCTAAATTTCCAACTTGTGGTAATGCCTGCATCACCGTGTCCAAGAGGGCACGTATACCCTTCGCCATTTTCAAGAGCTTCAATACACGGGCTATCCGTAACACTCGCATTACGCGAATTATCGTGGGATTAATGGGGATGATTTTAGACTCGACCTCCTCTAGCACGATGCCAACGACTGATAATATCACTATTCCCACATCCAGTTGGTTCCATCTATAAAAAGAATCATCTTTAAAATAAAACTGTCTCCTTTCTCATAATGCTGTTGATAAAAATTCACGCCACATATTTTTACTAAAATACTTAAAAAGAATGACATATCCTTACTTATCCTTTAGATAAAGCTGCACACCGAGAGCGACAAGCTTCATGAAGGATTCGAGAATGAAAACAGCGGTGAAGAAATAATTAAAGATCTTTAACGCGTAAGTGAGCGCTTTCGGCATCATGTAAAATTCCATCGCCATCGTGACGACATTGAGACCAATAACTGCGGCGATCGCCAGATCAAAGTACTTGGACGTCACGACGTTGTGGACGAAGAGCCGCGCCTTTGAGTAGGTAGTGTAATACGGTGGCTCGTGCATCTCTGAAAACAATTACAATCAACATTGCACACACATCGACATCTCTTGACAAGATCAGCTGCGTGATATAGAAGTGGCATTGACCTAGCGGGGCCTGCGGTCACTCACTTCGTCTCTTTTTTTCCATCTGCAATGCGCGTTTAGCCGCTCTACGTACACGCTCCTCTTTCTCTTGCTCTTCGCGGCACCTATGAAAATTCTCCACCACCACGCCGACGAACATGTTCAACACGAAGAAGCCCACCAGTAATATGAACGCGATGAAATACAACAACCGCCATTCGGAATAATTTTCGATGGGCTATAATCAGGTTTATTTTTCATCATTTATCGTTACGTAAAGTAGAAGTCAAAGATAAGAAGTTAGAAGAAAAAGTATTTATTTTGACTGAATAAATTTCTCTCACCTGTTGATCGACGCCAACAGCATCTAGACCGGTGTACATGATGTTTACCCATCCGTCTCGCGACGATAAGACAAATAACGACATGAGAGCTTTGCCGAGATCGTCGAAATTGTACTTTCGATTTAGCCACATGTTTCGCTTATCGGCCAGACAGTCTGTTTTATTGCGCACATTCTTGATTTCAGGACCTTCGCAATAGTAGAATGCGCCTTTGAACAGTTGCACTCCGAGGATACCAAAGATCACGAAAAATGTGCAACAAATCAGAACAATATTTCCGATGGGCCGCAATGAAGACAGTAATGTCTGAACCACCAGTTTTAAACCAGGTGCGCGATTGATGACTCGCAGAGGTCTTAATGATCTCAGTAGTCGAAATACCTATAGTATTATTTAAAAAATGATTGATTAGAAGAGAATGCATATAACATTGGCAAGAGTTTAATTATTAATGAATATTTTGATTTATTTATATATTATAATTTCCTTCATTATCTGCAATATCGAGAAATTTATGATCAGTATCTTAATATCTTAATATCTTAATATTAAAAATAAAAATTATAGTAACGATATGTATCCATAATAAATTTTCGAAAAATTTAATAATAAGCTTACTCTTAATATTCCAAATATTCTGGGGCTACTCGATGAAAGCAATGACATCGATAAGTCGATTATGGAAATGATAACGAGAGATCCGTCCATAATATTCCAGCCTGAAGTAAAATACGCATCCGGACCATAAAGCATACCCGTCGCGACAACCTATTGCAAATTTATAACATGTAAATGTTATTGCTATTATGCGCTATTTCAAATTCTAATAAAAATTTCTAATAAAATTCAAATATAATTTTATAATTTTAATTCTAATTCTAATTTTAATTCTAATAAAAAAATTCTATTCTTATATTCTTTTTTATATTAAAACAAAATTTTATTCAGAACATTAGTTTTATCGTAAATTATTAGAGATATCTGACAAAAAATACACATCTCCAAAATAAAATCTCTAAAATATATTTACCTTAACAAACATCTCGATAGCAAAAACGCCAGTAAAAATATAATTCGCAGACGATAGAAAAACTCTTTCGCGACTGTCAGGCGGTATATTCGGTCGTTCCATCGCCAGAGTAATGCAGTTCAATCCAATGAACAGCAATACTACATTATCAAACCATTTTTGATCAACGAACCATTGACAGAAGATACGAAACCTGCAGAGAAATTTATGAGTCTCTTACATTTTCTAATCGACAAAAGATTTGCTAATTTCTCATTGAACTTTAATTTAATAGTAGCATCATATATATAATTAAATTTATATTATTCCTATCTCATTCTTAAATGATTATTATCATATAAATATTTTTATTATTTATTATTTTTCGTTATCGTCTCTTGTTTATACTAGAGTAAAATTTCAGACATTAATTAAATAGAAATGTGTACCTGACTATCTATAATATTACCTATTATTGGGTGGGAATAAATACAGGGAATAATTGTCACGTTCCTGTAGGCAACCCTTAGGTTCGAAGAACATGAATATCTTTTTGATTTTCTCAACGCTATTCGCGCTTCCGTGGCCATTTGACGGCGGCGTTTGTTCACCACCCGTTCTCGAATGCTCTTCTTCTTGTTCAGGAAGTCGTTTGATTCTCGGCAGTGGACCAGTCTCCATCGAGAGATTATTGATCGTGCGTGGGGTCGAGGACGGCGCGAGCATCTCATCCAACGGCAGCGTTTTTCTCGTGGACGTCTGAACATTTTCATATCCGCGCAATGAGTTTCTCCGCGAAAGCTCGCCGATCCATCGCATCTGAATATATTAATGCAACACACAAATGCAGAGCGCATCAATAAAATTACTATACGATGATAATGAAATTGCAATTAAATAATGGCATCAAACACATCATGTCACGTTTACCTGATTAGACGTAATTGTGTAACGACGAATCGACCATGGGCCATAACTTTCGAGCGAATTATTAGGACTCAAACTACGATTATTGCTTGTTAGGACGGTGGTTCGATTGTTGGGCGCGTCGCGTTGCGTATCGTTTCTTATCGAACCATGCAAATAACCGCCATTGAAACTGTGAAAGACCAATCATATTATTATCATTATTAAAATATTATTACATTTCTGAGTATTATTCTATATTTTATTACTATTTTAATATTTATTATTGTTATTAATATTTATTAATATTTATTATCATTTATTATTATTTTAATATAATGTGTGAATAAAAAAGTGCTTTATTACATTTTGCAAACTTTAAAATAAACCTTAAACTCATTTAATGAATCAGATCTAAAAATTGTTATAATAAATTATTTATTTCTTTTAAATAATTCACGATGAATAACGCTTTAATTGACTTACGTTGGATTAGATCCGACGAGAGTACTGCGCCCATTATTGAGTACAGTCGTATGACCGGTGTGCTCGTCGTCACTTTGCGACCATCGTTTCCTCCGCAAAGATGGCCGCGATAATCGCCACGAATAGCCTCTTTGTATCCTTGGCGGACTAAAACAAAAAGAGACATGGTATTAGAAAAAAATGTATGACATTTAGAGAATTTAATCGAGAAACGACCAATTTTTTTTACATAGATACCTTGAACTCGAGTCCCTCGTCGAAGGATTGACAACGGCCGTAACAAGGCTTATGCGTCTCGGGAATTGACCAGCAATTAAATTGTTTGTCGGAATTTTGTTAGATACATCTGGCAGCTTTAACAGTCCCGAGGGTATACTACACTGGCTCTGCAAAGCATTGTTATTATTACATTTTCTCTCGTTACGTTCTTCTTTAATCTAGTATTTTAATGAAAAATATAACAGCAATCTTGTAAATCAAAACTACACAATAGATTTATTTAGATATTAATTCTGATTGATATCTCAAACGGATAAATTTTCTATTCTTAGATACAAATACGCATACATCATTATATCAATCACAATAAAAGCTTTCTTGCCCTGCAACAGTTAATCTATTATTGAAATAAAAACGTACACCAGATCGATCGATGGATTCGATCGAAAGGGCAGCAGCCGGGTAAACTGCTCGGCAATTGAGGTCTCTGTAGCCAACATTCAACGTGGTATTTGGAGAATCTTGAGGAGTTGCCGCTGTATGAGTGATTATAGGCGGTTGACCTGCCACACCCATCATCTTACTCTCTTTCTGAATGTTACACTTAGGCTCATCGATCCGTTGTTTCCACACGCTGTTCTGCTTCTCCCTGTTATCCTTATACTTTCTCAGCTCCTCCGCGCTCTGCCACGAGTTCTTCTGATCCTGCAAATCGCGAATGAAAACTGATGCAGCATAAAGCGAAGAGAAATATTGCGATCGACGAAAATCCATTTATTAAATAAATCACGTCGAGATAGAAAAATCTATAACTCTATGCATATTTTTTCAAACACACTAAATAAATATAAATAAAAAATTATATATCTTTATATATTTAACTCATGTTCACATTTTATATATTTCACGAATCTTCAAAAAAACGTTATGGCGTTGAACTTTCCCTGTAAAATTGAAAAGCGTCAAGAGGGAATTAATCCAAAATGGAAACAATTTTTGCGCCTCACTCTTCTTTCAATTTTTTTAAGTGGCAAAGAATGATATAATAAACAAAATAAATGGCAAAATAAGATTTGAAAACATTTATTTATTAGAAGAAAGATTGCGCGAGCAATTATACCTGGGTATACGTATCACTATCAGAGATCGAATGCGATCCCGATACTCTCGACGACCCATCCTCGCTGCCGATTCCAGCGGCGAGCTTTTTTGCCATTTCTCTTTGCTCTCGTTCTCTCCTCTCATTTCTCTGCGAAGTATATTAACAATTATCATGTCTTTCATTTTTGACGCACGTGTCCGTGTATAATTATAAATTACATATATATTGTAAATGTATAAATATATAAATATTGTATAAATGTATAAATATATAAATATTGTAAATATATAAATATATTGATGATTTGCAATGTAAAATGCGATCAATAAATCTAATCTAATAAAATCTAATACGGATCGAGAGAAATGTTATAAATTTATATGTAAACATTCTCTCTCATATCTTCTGAAATACTCACGTATAAAATTTAATAAATTGAATAAAAAAAGCACGCATATTATTTTTCAATTCCTACCTCCGATGAGAAACCTTCAACGAGAATGGCAACAAGAAGATTGAAGAGAACGTAATTGCCAAAGGTCATTAACGCTACGAAATAAAGCGCAGCCCAGTGAGATGTCTTCTGCATACCGTTGAAGAGGACGACATTCCAATCCTCCTGCGTAAGGATCTACATAAAAAGAAAAAAGGGAAGAGATTTCCGCTACATATATAATAGCATCAATATCTAGACTTATTTATAATAAGACACATAATCGGCAAGACGTTTTTTTCTTCAATTTGTATTCTAATGAATATATTGAGAATAATACACAAGTTCGCATATAAATCGCTTTGTCGTAATTTAATGAAGTTGTTACACAGTATTAATACTTATATAATTTTTATAGAATTTTTATAAGATTATGTATTTTACAAGATCTTTTAATATATACCATATTAAATAAATTATAAATAATTTATTATTATTTTATAATTATATGTGTAGAATATCATTAATTTAATCATTGAAATATTATTACGTAGTTGTCAAAAGTTTCGATCATCTTATTTCAAATATTGAATTATTGCATTAGTTACAGACACGAATATATTTCATTGAGATATCGAAAAATACGAAGAGGTAAAAATAGCTAAATAATTCAATAGAGTTTGTATGCGCATGAACTACACGTTTAGACAGAGAATTCATTTTTTTATTACATGTAGATGTTTTTTTTAATATTTTAATTTAGATTTCTCGATTATTTTTGGACATACATGCAATTATGAGGAATCGGCATACAAAGCAAGTCGGCATTGTATTTGCACTGCACCCAAATTTGCATACTCAATAGAGACGCACAAAAAACGTTTTGCCAACCAGTGTTGTAATACTTCGTGAATATGCATGCGTCGAGTTTTCTATCACGAATTTCTCCTCTTTTTGCGAACTTTCGTATCTGTGTAATTAGCTATCTATTATTATGAACTCTATAGTCTATTTTTAATCTACTTCTAGCCTGATAACGTTATACGCTATAAAAATTAAGAATCATAATAATTACAAGAAATTAATTCAATTTACTCCAAACGATTAATATTTAATAATGATAGGATGTAAATGCATGCGTAATATATTACAGTAATAATAATAATATTCCCCATCATATTTGACTTTTGTGCGTAGAATGATATACAACGTTATACGAACAATACAATCAGAATGCGACTATCGGCATTTTATTATTTATTTATCAATATACTCGCGCGTTTTAAATTATAACAAACATCTGTTACATCACAAATGAATGAAAGTTTGCCAATAATAATTATTAACTGTATAACGATAAATTTAGGAGTAATAATAAATCGAGGACGTCATCAGACTGCATCGAGCATAGATATAAACGGAAACACGTGATAGAAAGGCAGAAACTCGTTCGAGCGACTTTCCGCAACGATGTATACATTAGTTGCTTTACATGGATGATGTGAGTTGAATTGAAATTACAACACACTCGTAGGTGGAATCATCGCGCAGTTTGATCTGCGCGAGCAAACAAAATAGTAAACGTGAACGTCGACATGTATACGTATATACCGTTTGCACGCATGTAAATACAAAGCAACCATTAAAGGCTCCGCACACTCGGCACGGATAACAAAGAGACAAGAATTGACGAAGCGTGAGTGGGCTTAGGAAAACGATAGGATCACACGTCAAAGAGGGAAGGGTTCATTTTTGCTCAACACGAAGAAATATATAAATATATATATATAAATATGACGGGGATCTGTACAGAGAAAGAGAGAAAAAGAGAGAGAACACGTGTGGACACGTATATATATATATATATATAGGTAGGAGAAAAAGACCGTGTATTACGTAAAACACGTAGCACGTGGTAAAAATGATTAATGTATATATATGTATATGTATGTCGCATTTAACACGTAAAAATCACGTATTATCTGTATATAGTAAGTCATATAAGAGAGGGGGGAACAGTGGTACCTGAAAGACAGTGACTAGTGCCCAGACGATGTCGTTGAAATGTTTGCGATCACAGCGACACATTGGGTGCCGCGAGACCACCTCGGCACAGGTGCAGGGCCGACTCCGGTCCGCCCACATGCAAAACTTACCCCCGAACAGGTACATCCCTAGGATGCTGCAACCGAGACAATCCGCTGGCCTAAAGTAGCCCCGAGATCAAGGACGAGGAGAGATGGAGTCGGACTAGAGTTGTGACAGGACTAGGACTTTGGTACAATCGCCGAGCAGCGTCTCCATTCTCGTCACACAATATATTTCCCTCATTCGATTAATTAATTATATAAAATATGTAATATTGATTAACTTTATAGTCGCAATGGCAACGTAAAAAGCTATTGCGAATGTCACATCAATAATAATTATAAACGAAAATTGTATAAACATTGACATCATTAATATTGTTAATTTGGCATTTGACAGCTGACTATGAGTTGATGTGTAAAATACTATTCGAATAAAAGAATATAAATTTATGGTAAAGAGTGTGCGAAAAGTTCATAATTTTTAAATTTTAAATATATGTAATTTTACAGCAATTTAATTTTTAATTAAATCTTGCATGGGGTTAAAATACATGATAAAAATGTTACGTGAATCATTTTTATCCATTTGTAGTTTGTTATTTTCGTGCTTAAATGTTCTTAAGTGATCTAGGTTTAAAGCTCACATTTTAAAAATACTTCTGTAAAGAAAAATATCTATCTTTAGCTTTTAATAAATATGTGTGTGTGAGACACAAGATTTTTTCGATTTTTTCATTCACCGTCACAACAGGTATATATTACATGTATAAATATCTGACTGCATCAGTTTTATCTCATATTAAGCCGTATTGACTGCCAATCATTCAAGTGCACTTAAACAAATTTACGTATCGAATTGACACCCGAAATATGAAATCTGTTATAAAAAAAAATGAAAAGTTTCTCTCTTGAATCATAGATTTTAGCTACATTTGTGCGATATAATTTGAAATGTTTTGAAATATTTTAAAATTTCACACAAATCATAGTTCTCAAACTATCATTTTTCCTCTTATGAAAGGCTTAAAATTTTTTTTAGGCTTATCTTTGAGAATGGAGATTCTGTGCATCAATAAGAGATTAAGCAATTGTGTTGGATAAAACAGCGAAAACGACTGTCACTCGAAGCTCGTACAGTCACATTCTGCAAGTTCGGCGTGTCTGTATATATATAATAATTATATGTATTTTGTATTTGCACAATATAAGTGAATGCGTGTAAAGTATAATAGGAATACATTTATAGGTTGTGAACGAATCATATCAACTGTGTACGGTTGTAACGGACTTTATACGACGGGACGGAATAAGGAACAAAAAACAAAATTCAAAAAATTTGTACTTCTTTTTCGGTGAAAGAATAATTCAAAAATTCTTTAATTTAGGTATATTTAATTCTCTCTGATTGCCCGAAGAAACGTCAATTAAATATAAATTAACATTGAAATTAACTTTTCATATATTCGCACCATAATATAATTTCTCGATATAATACTATACATATGCATATTAATTATTTAACGTTTTACGCAAGCAATCAATAATGTTAATTTTAGGATGCATGTTGGAACAATTGACTTTAACTCGACGTGACCATGTCATAATAAACATTTATTTGGACGCGCAAAAGAAATTTGTCAAATCTGTCAATTATCTATTTCGTCGAGTCAGCTGATTTTTTCTACGAATTTCGTTTTGTTGACGTTGAAAGTGAAATTGATGCCGAATGCGCTCTGCAAATATGACTAGCTTTAAATCATCTCTTATCCGGGTCGACAGATATCCGTGCGCACACTTTACAGGTGTCGTGTGAAAATAAACGGCGCGGAAAGTGCTCCGAAAAACGCGAGCCGTAGCGAAAAACTTTAGAAAAAAAGACTGGACAGAGACAAGACACCTGCCGTTGCAGAATGTCACGGCGAACGTTTGCGAGAGGTGGAAATAAAGGGTATAATTGTCAAGCATAAATATATGTATAATCGTCTAATACGCTGAGGTATATGTATAATATGTATTACGTCGAGAACTCTCTCTTGCAGAGCGAGTATTTGCAAAAGGTACGCAAAAATCTACCGAGACTGCAATGTCAGTACGATATTACGTGCCTTGCGCGATCTACCTGATTTGTATTTCTAGAATAAAGTAAAAAAATGGTGTTTCTCTACCATATGAACTAAGAAATACTAATTAACCCTCTCGGGCTACCATAATCCTGATAATTTAACTACCAAAAAAACTGGTACAAATTTGATTCAACTTCTAAATAAAAGCATTCTTTTCTCGTAGAAGTATATAATATTTTAATATAAGAAAATATTATTACATAATATTATTATATGATTATTTTAAATAAATATTTATTTAAAAAATATAAATGTACGTGCGATTATCATAATGACAAAACAAAAATATAAAAACTATTTAGTTATTCGATCTTTCTTGAGATCTACGTGTTGAGCCATTTCTGGCATGTATTTGGCATATTACATAAGTTTTTTTTTTAACGTTCGTGTAATTCGTGTGCGATGGACACGTGGTCTCGTTTCGGGTCCTCGAGTGTTGAAGAATTTTTAGAAACTTGTGGCGCGGCGATGCTCCTGTCGGGTCGAGTCGATATTTCACGCACGTATTTTATAAGTCGGAACGAAGTTTCTTTTTTTTTTTACGCTCGAGTCGTCATGGGCGTTTAAGAGAGAAAGTGACAGAGAAGTTACTGACAGAACGGAAAAAAGAAAGAAAGAGAGAAAGAGAAAGAAAGAGAGGGAGAGGAAAGTACGAAGAGAAGTGTAAATGTCGTAAGTAGTGAAGTATAATGAAAGTCAAAGGAGACAGAGAAGAGATTAAGCGTGTGACAGATAACAGTTTAGTGTGCTATATTGTTAAAAATGTGTTACGTGATATCGAGGCGTCGTTCACGAATGTACAGAGTGCGTAATAATTCTAATAAGTAAAGTGTGTAAAAAAAAAAAAGACGAGCATGGGCGTCGACACAAGCTGCTCATACGACACATGATCATTTCTAATTCTCTTTGCGAAGCACAGAACAACCGGCTCCATTTTTTTATTATTCGTGTCGCCACGATGTCACGAGAACTGACATACGAGAAGATCGGTCGCCGTCGTTTTTTTTTTTTAGTAGTAACTGACAGAAGTTTGAACGGTTAGTGAGGTATATGAATGTCGAATCCTCGCGTGACGAGGAAACGTGATATGCAGCAAGGTGTCGTATATAACGCGGTACAGGATGACGGCAACAACGACGACAAGTGGCGACCAACTGTCTATAAGAACACAGATCGCATGCAGAAGTGCGAGTTTTGCACAATATGAATCAGGCAAGAGTTATTTTCTTCGATATCTTGCGCTCCAAGTCAGGACAGGAAGTTGATCCCATGGATCGCCCGGTAACTTTAGAAGGGCCATTTACCAGGAAGTGTCATTTAGGCAGGAAGCGACGCTTCCGGACGATCCTAGGATAGTTGCCAAACCATACAAATGTCTCAAGAAGATTGTCAAAACGCTGTCGACGTGTCTTTTCAACAACTTTATCATGTTTCTTGAACATTTTTATGATCTCGAAAGGTTCACAATTTGTAGACGTTTGTATTGTTTGCGTTGTTATTCGTTTAGGCATATAATTGATACTTATCGTCCATTGACATGCGACGAACGTACGGAAACAATCCAAATTGCCTGTATTAGAATCCTATTAAACTATTCCACTGGATTCTGCCGAAATTGCTCCGAGATTATTGGTTCTTATACATTAATTTCAATTTCGATGTTTCCTACGATCGTCAAAAATCGCAATGGAACACAGCAACGAGCATTAAAACTAAAAACCATACTGATAACAACAATGTAATATTAAAAAAAATGCAATGTCAGTATCGCCAACAACAGGAATAAGCGAATGAATATGCGAAGCGTCTAGACACACAAAGTTTTCTCAGTACTTGAGCGAAAACGCCTGTATTCTTGAACTTCCAAAAGCACTATTCGATGTTTGATATATCTGCATCAAAATCACATTTAATGTGAATATAAAATTGATTCGTTAATAAATTTGACACATTGAACAGTTTGAACAATATTTTTAATAATGATTGTTACCAAAGTTTTTCTCCAATATCGTTTTCTTGTTGGAAAGAGAGAGAGAGAGAGCTCCGCAAAATAAATATCTAGGTAAAACTTTAGAAAAAGGATCTGCAATTTTTGAATATACGATTTATAGATTATTGATTAGAAGTTAAATCATTTTGCTTTTTTAATTTAATACATTTGAAAATTATGCCAATTTTGATAATTATTAGGGCTGCCGATTTTAATCAAATATTGACGCACAATTATTTAGTCCAGCTTCAAAATATTCGAACAAGCAATATTCCGATATTCTGCATCGTATAAAGATATAGTTTCATGATATATAATCATGAATGATGAAAAACTGTATAGCTTAATATAACGTATATTTAATTCCATGAATTTAATGAAACCCAACATAATTATGTAGTGATTGTGCAGTCAATTATTATACAGTAATTACTAATTTTGCATTAAACAAATATAGATATCAATTACTTGGATAAAACACGTCTACAGGATGTAATGCGGATATCGGATCGTTATCCCGGTATATTTCAAATTCGAGAATTCGAATAGTTTTTATTGTTGTTATTATTGTATGTCATTAGTTTTAATAATAATTGTATTATTCTAAGAGATGTTCTCTATCAAATTACAATATAAAAAATTATTTTCGCAAGATGCAGGAGATTTCGCTCATTGTTGCCGACACACAGAGACAACAGCTGCTTACGAAAGCATGCCAGAAGGGAGCTCGACACGCTCGCAGACAATATGGCAGGAGGCAGCGCATTAATATCGCGCAATGTACTTGTAAAGCGACGAATGGATGGCAAACAGACAGAAATGGAGAAGCACCGGGATTATCGCCGGCAATCATATGTAATTTCAATAAAATCCGCACTAGAAAATTCACGTATCCCCCCTCCGTTCCATCTATAGGCGCTGCCAGCACCAGCTATAATCAGATTTCTTTTTCTATCTCTCATTTCTTAAAATAACGTATCTCGCGAGAAATACGATATGTAAACAATAGCTTCCAATATTTGTTATTAATAGAAATTTTAGATAAATTTTATTAAATATATTATATAATATTAATTGCAAGTCTCTAGTAAAGCCGGTACCAATAGCTTCCTTCTGCCCTTCTCTTTCATCGGAGAAACGACGACATGCTGGAAAGCATTTACCTTCCAGTATACATTACCTGAGACCTCAGAAATCATATAAAGTGTTGCGATCGTACGACTTTAGCTCGTCGAAAAACCATACGTGACAGTACGTAATGTATACTTAGCGTACTTAGCGTATATATATATATATGTAGATGTGCCGTGTGGTAATCGTTAATATATATATTAACGTATATATGCACACGAAAATATATATATATATATGTAGGTAATATACAGTATATAGAGAAGTCAAAATGTCCTCGAGAAGATACGTGGAAAGGTATCTTTTTTTTGGTAGGTACCTGAAACACTGTCACAATAGCCCAGAGTAACGAGTCAAAGTTTTTCCTATCACACTCGACGTCAGAGCTGCCTTTCATCGTTTCACAGAATTTGCAACCAAACAGGTTCATCCCGAGAATACTACAACACAACGAAACGTGCAATGTACTTCCTTATCCATATATATATGTATATATATATATATACACGTAAACCGGAACAAAATGAGAAAGAAAAGAAAAAGAGGAAGAGAGAGAAAGAGAAAAAAGAAAGAAAGAAAAGCTCGATTAAAACAAAATCGCGACTAATAAAGCGTGACTCGGCCAAGTAACCGATCAATTCAAAATGTATTGGTGTATACAGAGTGTTTTAGAACCGTTAATCCTTCCAGCCATAAATTCAGATAACCTTTTAATAGATACACTTTTAGATAACCTTTAGAGATAAGTCTTTTTTAGCGAAAATTTCTCGAAAGAATCTGTGTCACAAGTTTTTAATTTTTAAATGTAAAATATCTTTAAAAGAGAAGAATATTTATTTCAATATAAAATCTAATCAGAATTAATTAATTTTATTTTGCTTTTTCACAAAGAACAGTGTCGAGTAACTTTGTAATTATCGATACTTTGCCATCTATGGTCAAATAGACATCCGGTTCTGTGACACTTTGTATATTTAGTCAAAAAGTACACGATGAAAGAGCAGAATCGATCGGTTGACGTTTCTTTTGCGATTGTTACGTTATAATATATAATGCACATATATAATGCACATCCGTGGACATGTCATATCTCTTTAAAAAAATGTACGATGATCATACTGAGCTCCAGAAACGTTCGAAGTGAAAACCAAATGTCCTCGGATCGATACTGACGTGAATTTTTATCGGCTCTCGTAATCTAAAAACTTGACCGAGTAAATGGACTCATGCTTGCAATCCCGATGCAAGTATATCCATTATTTAATGTAAACCGTCCGATCAGGAAAGGTCTCGTAAAGCGGATCTTTTGAAACTCCATTCGCGTCTTGCGGCCAAAATGCACACACCTAAGGACGGCCGAGGATCTCGAGAGAAATGTCTATCGGATCCTAAGGATCAACGCGCAGAGAAGCACCCGCGAGCATTTGCATAGTTTCGAGAACTTTGTATTCAATTTTGAAAGTTCGCATGAGAAGAAAGTTTCAGGCAGAAAAAGATCGTCCGGATTTACATCAACGATGTTAGTATTCTTCTTCGTCTTTTCTACGATTCCTCGACAAATGGAAACCATTTCACGCCTAACAAAATTATTAATTTCCACTGTCTTTAAAATAAAATAGAAATAAAATAGGGAAAAAATAGAAATAAAAAAGAATATTTAAAACATATATCCTTGATGCAATCGAATTACTAAGTATTTCAATAGGATCATTGTGGAATGAAGCTCTCAATGATTACAAAATCCGGTCTTTTATACTCAAACGTTTAATGCATCATTAAAAGTATCCAACTAATGTTATTCGGATCGATATTTTATCGATATTTTCAGCGTTCGCGGTTGCGTTTCTGCGGTAGATATCAGCAATCAGTTGCAATAGCGAGAGCGGCGGCTGCGGCAAATTGGCCATCGAACGATCGTAAAACGCATCGTAAACGCGCGGATGTATATAGCGGGAAGTCCTACGCAGTATGACGAAATATATAATCCTGCAGAGAGATATATGTCGACATTCGCAAGCTGTTCTAATATCGAGGGCCACACTGAGGCGCACGCACTTAAATATAGACGCTCAGAGTAGCAAATGGAGAAAGAAAAAGAGAGAGATAGAGAGCGACAGCGGGAGAGATTCACGTGTATACACGAATATAAACCAAAAGAAATGTGATAATAGTAGATATATATATACATATAGCCCTTCATACTCGTCACTAAGACGTCCAGCATAAAAGCATCATGCACACACATGTAAATATATATTCATATACGTATATATATATTTATATATAGATATATCTTCTAAGTATATAAACGTCGAAAGAATACGTTCGATGCCTCAAGCCATAAAAGGAGGGCAGCAGGCGCTCCCTCTTCTCCCCCCCTGTAATAGATCGTGCCAACAAATACCATCGTCATTACCATTAACAATGTCAGAAAGTATATGCCGCTCAAAGAAATGCTAGGAGACGCGACAACACGGGACAACTGCTGTGATAAAAACTTGAGAATTTCTATATATAATATATATGTGATATGCATTAACTGGATGACGGCTCAAACGCCGCGCGGAAACAATGTAAAAGCGAATAAAGTAGAAGAGAAAGGTATGAACGCGAAAGACAGTCACCTAAAATGTAAGTCTCGGCTCGAAGAGCAGCGGCGCGATTTGTTCCTCAAGCTCGTAAGCTCGTGAAAGCGAGCAAGAAGCTGCTTTCGAAATATTGAGCGTCAACGAGAATTTTATCACCTTCGTAATGCGAGATTATAAGTGCACGTAATAAAATTTAGCACGACGATCAATGAATTATTAATAAAAAGAAATAAAGGAGAAGTAAGAACAAAAGTTTTTCAACTGAAAGAAATTATTTCATAATACTATTCCATTTAACGCATACACGTGCATATATATTGCATATATATTTTTTTTAACAAAAGAATTTAAACTTTTATATAAAATATATAATATTTTATAAATTATATATATTTATAAATTATATATATTAAATTATATATATTATTATAAATTATATATATTTTTGATATTCTTATAAGACTAAATATAATTTAAAAAAAAAACTTTTTCGAACTGAAAAGATTTTAATACAAAAATTCAAAGGCTAATATCATATTTTTATGTCATAGTCATGAAACTGGTCAACGACACGAGTAAAATTTGAGTACCAAATATAATTTTCGCTACTATGGATCCCGGAGGCGATATCAATTCGCTATTATTATGAAACATGCAAAACAACCATCGAGCCCTTTCATAGTTCCCTCGTAAGCAAAATATTTGATGTTATATATATAGGCTGTCGTTATCTCTCATCGACGCTTCATATTTCAAAGCGCTTGACCAACATATTTGACAATACCTATCGGCAATTTCGTAACTTCGATCCGCCTTGCCAGACATGCAAACGTTACTAGGCTGATGAGATGATAATTAGAACAGGAAGACGCGACAGCGCCCCGTAATCCGTGTAAACGCGACGCGCGGATTCGGCCGAGCAGATTCCTCGCGGGTCGAACTTACTTCACGATAATAAATCTCATCGACGATGATACCGGTTCGCGAAGTAGGCGAGGACCACATATACAATTAAACAAAAAATTAGAAAAGAAATTAGGAAACGGAGAGAAGACCCAGCGACGCGCGGAATTCCGAGCAGCGTCGCTGACGCGGACGAGAGGATAGGACGGCGACTTACCTGAATATAAAGATGAAAAGTACTAAAAGAGAAAAGAATACGGCAACGTTATCCATGGTGCGTAGCATCACGAAGAGCTGTCGTCGGAGATTGGGCAAGAATCGCACTAGCTTTAAGATCCTGAGCAGGCGGAAGGTACGCAGGACGCTCAGACCGGAACTGCCACCGCGCTCCTCCAAGAATGCTTGGCAGAGTTCGACGACGCTGGAAACGATGTGGTGCACGAATGCAACCGTGTTATCAGTTCGTTACATCGGTCTATTCGCGAAAAACTTGACGAGAAAGCTATTAACAGCTTTCTTGTAAAATTGAAATACTGGTGGTAAAACTAAAGTATCACACAGTGTATATATTACGAGAAGAGTGCTTCGATATATCTATTCGTACATTTATTTAATATTGTTATTTAATATTGTTATTTTACTCAAATATAATTATAATATATCAGTTTAATATTGTACTATTTACTTAAAATAAATGATAAAAAAAGTTACAAAGGAAATTGTCTTACCTTAGGACGACGACAATACCGTCGAAGACGTTGAAGCCGTTGCTGATGTAACCGAATGGGCCTTCCGCTATTACTTTAAGTAGCATCTCCACTGCGAAGATTGCCGAGAAAACGATGTTGCTTATTTCAACAGCTACCGTTAATTGTTCCGGCTATACAACAATATAATCATAATTACATTCTTTATGGAACAATCCACAAAGCAAGAGAAAGAGAATTTAACTTCGTGAAAGATAATTATAGAAATCATATTGCGCAAATAGTCTTCGCTTTACAATCAAACAAACAGTATTATCAAACTTATGATTTAATTTAATATTTTATTTAATTAAAATAAAATATTAAATTAAATGTGCAATACAATTATATATTTTTTTGAAAAGAGATTCGAGACGAAAGATCGAGTAAAGATTCACCTGATTGTGATATTCGATTCCCATACTCAAAGTATTAATGAGTATCGCCAGAAGGATACCCTGCTGGAAATATTTGTGCTCGACGAGCTTCTTGATGCATCGTTGAATGGAGCGCAACGTGCCGAAGCAACAGTTCCCGGTGCGACTCAAGAACCGTCTGACCCGTGAAGACTTTTGCCACTTTTCGCCGTCGTCCGACCATTGATCGCCGCCCTGCAGCTCGCAGCAACAGGAACAATTGTCAACGTCGGACGTCAGCCACTGCGTACGATCCTCCAACGTGATGTGACGATCTGTTATACCTATCAAATATGTGTGAATCATTCGTACATTTAATTAGGTCGCTCGTGAGTAATTACATTTACAAGATTATAAGAGAAATTCTTTTTCAGAATATCAGTGACGAATGTTTGGAAACTTTAAAACATCGGAATCAGCAATATATATTTTAAAAATTCTAATAAAAATTTATTATATTTAATTTATTAAAATTTATATTAAATAAAAATTAATAAAAATGTATAGCTTGAAACTCTTTTAAACAACTTCTTGTAAACTTGACTTTTTTACGATAATTTCAATTCGATACATGTCAAATATGAACTTGCCTTTCGTGAGAGAGTTTAGGAACGAATCGAGTGCCAATTGACCAGTGGGCAACGCGGCGCTGAGAGCACCGCTGAGAGCCAGCAATTCCTGACACGTCATAGCCTCATTGCCACCCAGCTCGGCCTGCATCTGCGACGCAATGCACCTTGAGTGAGGAAGGAAGAGAGGGACTTCCCGGTCTAGCATAGTCTAGATCTAGACTAATGGAAATTACCTGCGTGTGGTCCGGAAGAGGACTGGACCAAACGTTACCATCGCCCGTCTGGGTCATCTTCTCGCTCGAGCAGACGTTACGTTCACCCGGCGTCACCGTTGTCCCCGGCTGCAACGCATTCCCGACATTATTGCTGCCATGGAGCAGTACCACGTCGCTAAACATTACGCTGCTTCTTCTCCGATAATGCGTACATGGCGGACTCAACAACGTGCTGTTCGTCTAGAAGGCGAATCAATCAAGCATACATTACGCATGTCATACGCTACGACCGGTGCTCTCTCTTTCTCGCAGCCGTTCTCGGCCCAAACTTGTAGCATTAAGGGGAGAAACTTTACGTCGTACCTAAAGAGATCATCGTTCTCTTTGCGCAAACTACGTACTCTTTATTAACGATCACTAAGAATCAATAACCTAATAATCTAATGTGATGAAGCATAAACTCTGTTATTTTATTGTACATACGAAGCATGTTTAATCATTATCAGATACAACTACTGTCATTATAAAGCAAAAAATTAATATCAAAGAGAAAAGCTTGATGAAAAAAGCGCTAAACGAGCCGATACTGCGTGTCTACAGAGTTTTCTACGAGAGTTCAAGTTGAATGTAACACTTCTAGAGAGAGAAAATAAAAATTCACGACGTAACATCAAAACTCATGACGTAACTGAGACCGGAAAAACGAGAGATAACGTTATAAATTTTCAATAATAAAATCAATCCTTAACTTTTTGTCATATGAATATGATTACATTTAAATAAATTAAATAATAATTTAGCCATTATATTATTTCGATATTTAATTGTCTGACTTCAATTACGCCATTCGTCTTTGATGCATAAGAAGCGTCTTGTGACGCATTTTCGCATGCGTATCTAACGTGCGGAATCATTGTACTTGCCTCGGCCTGCACGTTTCCCACGATGACATTTTCGCTTCCGTTGCAAGACACAGAGGAAGTGCGATGAACATTCAATCTGTGGCACATGTTCGTGGAAACTTCGGCTTCGGAAATCTCTGGACTCGCTCGAGGCGCGATGCCCAAGTTTCCGCCATTATTACCACTATTATTGCCAGTAGTGGTGCCTATTGCCGATTGTAAAGGGGATGTAACGGCGGCGAAATCGACAACGGATCCACCATTATCACTAGTAGCCACTTGCAATTGTTGTTGTTGTTGCTGTTGCTGCTGCTGCTGTTGTTCGGCATATTCCAACGCGGCAAGGAGTCGAGGACATCTTCCATGATGTAATCTTCTATCTACGTATTGCAACAATTTCTAGAGAGTTCGAATATTTTAGCAGGAATTTTAGTAAAATTTTGAAATTTTTATTTTTATCTGAAATGATTCGAGCTAGAGGCCTCTAAATTTTAGGAAAAAAATTGAAAATTGGCTGTATTTCAGAAAAAAAAATTTGACGTTACCTATCACCCTCTCTTAAGAGATAAATAAATTTGCGTTGTGTTTGGTCAATTTCACACATTTTCAAATTTTAGCTCGGAGGGGGATTCATTTACGGACCTATGTTCATAAAAAAAAGAGTTTTGATCTCTAGAATATGCTCCTAAAGTTTAGTGCATCATTTAAGATACACCTATATTTTTTTATCTTTGATCATATTCTTTCATTTAAAATTTCAACTCTATCTAGAATTACATGAGGTATCAAGATTATTCTTGATATTGCCATGTTTTCTCTCGAAATTCGACGAAATCAAGACGAGATTTTAATTAATTATAAAGACAATGCCAAAATTATGATTGTCAAGATTATCCATTTAAAAGAAAAACTAAAATATGTATATTTGTTTTTGCACCCTAGTTTTATCATTCCTTGGGAGACACTCACCACCCGGTACTCGATTCAGTCCCCCAGCAGTGGCATTCGGGCGAATCGCTTGGCTCTGCCTTGGTTCTTTGAGCAGATTCTGCTCGCGCTTCTGCTGCCTCTTGTACAGCCACAGGCGATACCGCTTCATCAGTCTTCGTTTACTTCGTCGCCAGAGGTGGGCAATGTATCTGTGAAAAGAGAAGTCGAGTTGTCACCTTGGTATAAAAAAAGAAAAAAAAAACGAGAAAAATATTTCGCCGACAAAAAAACACCGACGCGAATAACGTCCTCGGGATGCGACGACGAGTACCCACTTGACGATTTCGGCGTAACAAGTAGTAGGCTCCGAGGTATTCGTGGACGACGCGAGCGTCGAGGTTGAATGGTAGCGAGCGCGTTCCAACTTCATCCTCTCCATCTCACGCTTCTTCGTCTCCGAGAATTGCGTCGCGATTACGACCAAGCAGAGATTGATCATGAAAAATGAACCAATCTGCAAATGCGGACCTCGTTTAATTCATTGCCTTTCACAATAACCTTCCACGCATTTGTTTTATATGTAATATTATTATTATGTTATTATAAAAATTATATTATTCTTCTATCGTGTAGCTAATAATGATTATAATTATTCTTTGCATTTGAGATTTATTTTAGATATCCAAAAAATAAGAATGTGAGAAATAAGCAGCGCATACATTTACGTTTCATTATTATATTATATTATATTATATTATATTAATATTATATTATTATATCTGACACATATTGGAAGCATCGTAATAGGAAATGGAGTACTTACGACTATGAGGAGAACGAAATATATCCAGTCCCAAAAGGAGTGGGCGTCCTGCACGTAATACATTATGTCCGTCCATCCTTCCAGACTAATTACCTGCAAATCGACACGATTGCGCTACTCGGGATTACGAAATAATAATGAATCAATAAATTAAGATAGTTTAAGACACAAAAATATATATTGAAACGCGTTATTTACGAAATTTTATGAATAAAATTAAAAAATCGTACGGAGAGAAATTATGCTACAAACACGTTAAAAGACATACCTCAATAAAGTTTCGCATATTAATATCATCTAAAGATAGAAAGTTTATTATCTAGCACATCATTCATTCGTGATAGTATCTTATCGAATGAAAAGCAATTTGTCCGCAATATATTACCAAGAGAATAATTTTTCTCTATCATAGATTAATGTGTGCGACCCGCATCTACCGATTTTCGAGCTCAACAAAAGTACATTACTTAAATCGAAGAAATATTCCATTCCACACACGTATACACATATGAGCATACGTACACAAGTACGTGTACATATGTGTGTACACATGTGTATATGTGAATTATTTGTATTTGTACGAATGTAGGATAGAGGACGAGTAACGGGAGCGCTCACAAGAAATATGGCGACCCAGGCGAGACCGATGTTATCGAATGAAATTGTTCCTTGAAATGGATTGTTGCCCTGGCCTTTGCATTCGGTATAGTAGTAATTCCAATTAACGCAGGTGTCATTGTTGATGAACGTGGCATTACTGTTTGGCACGGCCGTATTGTTGCACACCAAGTTTCCTGAATACGAGAAACGCCGATTCGGTCGATTACGAAGTAATTGCTAAGTTTAATTAGTAATAGAAAATATTTACACTGAGAAAAATGTCCGATGAAAAGGTAACGAACGGATATTATAGCGATCACTTTAATCGGATATCTGATCGGAAAGTTCCGAATTTTGAACTTTCTGATCAGATATCCGATCGATCGATATTTTCTGCTTGAATATCTGACCGGTTTCTTTTTTTCGATTAAAGTGATCGGTATAATATCCGTTCGTTATTTTTTCACCGGATATTTTTCTCAGTGTAGTAAAATATATATGGCACTTTAAAATTTTAAAATTCAAAACGAAGAAAGGAAATTCGACACTAAATTTCTTAAAATATTTGTCACATTCAAAGTGAATTTAAAAAACGCAGTGGATAAAATATGCTTGGATTTTAAAAGCACTTTGCATAAAATACTTAATTTCGTATAATCTTATTATTAAACGTCTTAATTATTAAACGTTAGAAAATTAAAATTAAAAAAAGAAAAGTATGTATTATATAAAATCATTGCACAAATTCGTATATTCAAAGCTCTGTGTAAGACGAAGGGTGTACTCACCAAATTTAAGCGGCGGTAGATTACTGCAAGAGTGCATCCCGCTGTCGTCGGGACGCGAACAAATGTAATCCTGACCCTGATACTCGAAATACTTCTCCAGATCACTGGAAAATCAACGAAGCGACGATTAAATAGATTTACATACACCAATCTTCGCATAGATCCTTAAGTTTAAAGACTTGCGTACATATGCCTTATTATGCACGGATGCACTCTTCGCATGCTTCGCTTATGCGTATTACATTATATGTAGATATGCAGCGTGTTTGATATAATGTATATAGTATATATATATGTACAGTATATATGTACAGGATAAATCATTAGAAATTGCTATCTAGAACCTAAATAAAATAACTCCTTATTCATTAAGCTAAAAAAACATGTTTGAAACGAAAAATGAAAAATGTTTGCATGGAATGAGTCGAACAGGCAAATTTTTATACTTTAAATTTTTGAAGAGATTTTTAAAGAAGCTTGTTGATGATAAAAAAATAAATTCAATGATAAATTAATTCAAATGACAAACATTCTAACACACACGCACGCACACTATATCCTTGAGGAAAAGAAATTATTAAATCGATTCATGAATAAGCAGTTATTTTAGATAGCAGTTTTTTGAGAATCATCCTATATGCATATAATATTCATATATTCAAGGTATATATAATATACAGAGGGTCGCGGAATTACCGAAGGAGCTCCCAGTGCGCCTTCTTGCGTAAATGGATACTGAAACCGAAAATATGTAAATGCAATCGATCGGAGTAGTTTCCGAGTAGCTATAGATTCCGAAGGTTGCGTATGCATTCGAATGAAATCGAATAAACGACCTACGCCGCACAAATTATTGTCGGCGTGACGCTACCGTGGCATTGATTCGTCAAATCGATACAACATACTTAACGTGATACTCGCTTTGAGATCGCTACGAATAAAGCACGCATTGTTCGGAAAATCGGGCGCGTTCCCTTGTCAGCTTTCTGTGTCACGCTTACATTTTCGACCCTGTTTATATCACTGGTCGACTCATTCGATGATTCTCGGACACCTCATATAGTATATATACACTTATAGATGCTGATGTTACAACGTACGTGCGCAACAATTGAGAGAAATATAGGTATAAATGCAGATGTAAACCGACACGAGTTTGCGTGCACGCGTGTATCGAATCACGCCGAAAAATGTCGGCAGGTGTGCGAAAAGAAACACTCAATTAACGTTCCTCGCACAGATTGCGATATCGAATCATATATTATAAATATTAAGAATAAAGAAAAGAGACACTATGGATATAAAAATTAAAAATTACAATAATGTCGAGTCACACGAGTGAAATCCTTAGAGAAGTCCGAAAGATATTGGGATATAGAGCTTTGGATGAAATTGAATGTTTAATGGAAAAGGATAAATAATTATTTGATATCGTTATTATTAGATATTAATTGTAAGAGTTATTATACATTATATATTAAAATTATATATATATATATATATATATATATATAATATATAATATATAATATATAATATATATAATATATAATATATAAGAGAAATTAAAATACTGATGCTGATAAAATACTGTATATGCGAATAATTTTGAACAAATTTGTTGTGTATGAAATAAATAGAAATATGTGATGTCTCAAACTGTAATTAATAATTCCTATTTTTATGCTGCGCGCCTTGAGATTGGAAAGCATTGCGCTATCTTTCTCCAAACTCCATTCCTCCATCATAATATCTTGACGCTATTTCTTCTGCATCCTTAGATATATAATTTATAACCACGTTTTCGCGTAATAAAAATAAAACGATTGATATATCATACTATTTTGCATTCGACATTTTTAATTTTTATAACAGCAATTGCCTTCATAAGATGTCATTTTTGTAAATACGATTTAACTATTGCAATATTATGAATTCAGTGATTAGACAGAAAAAATAGCGATAAAGGAATATTGATACAAGGAATAGCTATACTTTCTAAGATTATGCGACACTCCTATGCTATCCAAACACACACGCTATATATGTTTAATCAGCAGTGTGCACGTGATCGCCTCTATGCTCCCCTTAATTTGCGTGCCCGCATCTTGTACAAGGCGTGCGCTTCACTCGTTCGTGCTCGCTGTGCTGATCGTGCCGGTCGCTCTAGATCCTCTTCTATATAAGATGACCAGATGTCCTACTTTTAAACAATATGTCCCGTTTGACCACTCAATTTCCATAATGTCTCACTTCGTTCCAACTTTTGATAAACTTTCGCACTCGTGCTCATACTCTCTCTTGAAGCAAATTAATCTGATTTAAGACTAAACGTGAAATATGATCGCGATTGAATTTTTAAAATTTGCTCAGAAAATTTACATATTCAAAATAATTGTAAAAATAACTGTAATTTAATAATTTTTATATAGTTTTTATATATGTATTTACAGTAGAATCCTGCGGTTCGTACATTATGCCTCTTTGTTACAATAAGAAAAGAAACTATTTCAAAGATTTGACAATCTGGTCGTCTTGTCATCATGTGCGCGCATTTGTAACGAGTTCTCCGCGATTAACAATAGCATTTTAACGTTCTCACACATGAGATGTGACAAATATATGCATAACAATTTTAAAGATCGGTTATCAAGTAAATAATAAATGCATTCATGTTTTTACTATCTTTAGAAAATCTGAGTAAAGTCGAACATTATCGTTACAAACACGCTAATATTGTTGCTGTGAAAATCGCTAGCGTCTCTTACAATTCTGAGATGGACGTTAACACCTTCTCAGGAGAATAGAAAAATTACAAATTGATATCGCTGCCAGGGCCATTGCTATCCGCGAGGTTCCTAGCAGCAGGGCACAGGAACGGTAGCGAGTCGGTGCAGAAGTCGATAAACGTTCGAAAATAGCTGCTACATATACCGGAATAGACTGCGCGAGCACCGCGTGTTTAATTAGCTCTCTCTCTCTGGGCTTGAGCTTAGAATTTTATGGAGCCTACTTCTCCTTCTATGCTATCTTCATCGCTATATGAGTTTTGAATTAAAATGACTCGCGCGCGAAACGAAATATGCATCTAAGATCTCGAAATGCGGGATAATTTTCTTAAACTTTGTTTCCATGAAAACGAAATGTCCTTCGATAATTTAGACTTATAACGAAATGTCCTTCGATAATTTAGACTTATATCGTGGTTATTAATGATAACGATGTCATTATTATACAGGACGCTCGCGTCACGTTCGTTTCAAGATTTTTCAAGGAATGCAAAATCGATTTCTCTTTAACAAGAATATAAATTGTCAAGTGTCGATTATTTTTCAACTGTAAAAGATTAAAAATGACCTTCCATTCACGTGGGAAATTTCAAATTTACAATCTGAAAATCCCTATAAGCTATTTAGTACACGAGGTATTAAATTCAAAATATCCTCTGTATAACAAAACGATACATTATTATAAAAGCGGTGCCATGTAGTGAGACCACAGAGCCACCGATATCATATACACGCACACATACGCGCACACACGTACGCACACAGTTGTTGAAACGATAGTTCACATATGCAGAAAGCATCGTTACTGACTAGACACGCTGAGGGAGGATAAAATAGAAAGGCGGAGAAAGAAAAGGAAGAAGAGACAGTGAAAGTAAGATACGAGCCACGAAAGTTCATATCAGGAGTATATGTCCAGAGCAAAGAAGGGAGAGAACATCGACTCGTGCATCGAAGTAACCGAAGAGATCTCGGAGTACAGTAATCTCGTGGAAAAACATGAAAGTTTCGGATCGCCAACACAAATTATATGGATTCTTCATTCCTCCATCATCTGGTGTATCTCCGATCTTTCCGAAATCGCACGATTTATGTACAGCGGGTATGTATCGAAGAGAAACTTTAGTGCCAGATACTAAGTGTAAGAGACCGTGAAGTAACTTGGACATTAAAATACTATTTCGAAGTTTCGGAGGATTGATTTCACTTCTCGCTCTCGGGATCCTTGAAACCATCATCTCCTCAATTTACAGCCAGACTATTCAAAACAGTATTTTATTCGTCAACGGTCGAGTCGACATGCTCTATGTGAGTACACACTACGGTACAGTTCGCACACTGGTACAGTGGTTAAGAGAGAAGAGAGATAGACAGAGAGCGAGAAAGAGAGAGAGAGAGAGAGGGCGAGGGGAGAGAGAAGTGAGAGAAAGAGAGATAATATATACATATTGCACATCACGTATGGTTGCATGTATATACATATATGTACATATGAATGTCACGTGTATGTATATTCTGTGATTCATAGAGATATGTATTATTGAGATAGAAAGAGAGAAAGAGATATATATGTATGTACAGCACATTGTTCTCTACTAGAGCTTACTAAATGCGTGATCGAACCGAGTACTCGTCCGAGAGTAACCTGCAACAGCGAAACAATAGCCTGTCACTGCCTCCCTGGGGTCATGTACTTACATGTCTAGTTTTCTTTTTTATAGTCACGAGGAGAGAAGAAGAAAGAGAAATAGAGAAAGGAAGAGAAAAAGAAAGAGGAAAGAGAGTGAGATAGAACATTTTTAGATCGCCTAACATGATGTTCCTGTAAAAGCAAAAGTTCAGGAAGTAGAATGTACAGATCCATTCACAGGGCTTTTCACGAATTTTTCCTGGTTCTTCTCGCCATCGATAATATCTTCCTTATCTAAAACGCGTCAATATAGTTGCAAAATAGACACTTGAAGACAGAAAGATTTTGCTGTGTGTCGTTAAAATTATTTCAACATTTGCTCTTTTTCAAAATAGAAGAAACTAATTTTTTGAAACTTTTATATATGTGTTTAACAAACTTACACTTTACCTATTTTATGTAAAATTTTCAGTTTATATATGCGTGTAATTTAAATAAACTACTAATGAAAATACTATTAAGAAAAAAATAATTGTCTTCTTTCACATGTATTTAAATGAAGATTATAAATATTAAAAGTTATAAATATTTTCGTAAAAATAGAAAAAAGATTTATAAGAAAAAATGGTATATATAAATACCAGTTGCATATTCCATATTCACTGATAATCTGTGATAATCCGTGTTAATCCATGCTAATCTGTATCCGTGATAAATTTTCCACTATTTGTGATAATTTAATATTATATACATAAATTGTTTAATTATCTATTTTCGTGATCGCTATTTGTTATTTACGGATAGTTTCGTGATAAGCCGAGCAGAGTAAACGCGAGTTATGAAAGTTTGCTGTATTTTGAATAGATATCGATGTTTGATAAAAGCAAGATCGAGCGCAAAATAGTACTTGCGAAAGACAAAGAACGAAGAGCGAAAAAGAGCGGAGCGTTAAATTTACAGCGAGATAAACTCGGCAAGCGATGCTTTGCGACAACTCGAGCTACTCGTCATGCAATCTGGTATATATTAGATTGGCTGGGTTTTATGTGAGCGAATCTCTCACCCGATATATCAAATCGTTTACGCGATGCCGAATCACAAATATCTGTGATCGGTTCTCGCCGTGATCTTCTATAACGTATCGCAAATCTCGAATAATTAAAATCCCGAGAAGTACGCATACAACGATTGTTCTAAGCGATTAAAATAAATTGCAAGCGTATGAAAAAATAATCAAAATACTGTATCTAAGCAAAAACTGTCTGGTAAAAAATTGTAGAATAGAAGTGTCATGCAATAGCGTGCTTTGAATACGATAAACGCTAATTTGTGATGAGATAACGTAAATGAGAATTTCCAAGAATTATCGTATCGCTGAAAAGGCCTTAGCGCTTATGTATTCGAAGTATGTTATTGCAAAAGGTCCCAAAATAGAAACATTGCAAACAGTGCAAAAATGTGTTTCGGATATAAGACAAACGCCTCGATTCGCAATTTTTACAATAATGCAAGCTTTAGAAAATTGTCACGGTCGAGTATTGTTTCGCGTTGGACACAAAATTTTACCATAAATTGTATTCGAAGTACGATATTGTGAAAGATACTTTTAATAACGACAACTGTCAAATGTGAGTTGTTGAGTTTTCACATGTTTTGCCGAAAAAATACGTGCTCGGCATTTGAACGAAGGCACGTATGATGCCGCTCTTGAAAATTGCACAGCCATCGAAAGATAACGAAAAAAAATGAACGAGATGCGATGCAGCGTGAGGCGTAAAAATGTGAAAAATCGAAGTCGAACATTTATATAAAAAAAAAAAAAAAAAAATAATCGATTAGATCGAATAATCGAATAAACCAGTTTAAGATTTTTGTCGACTTACTCGGGATACTTGACGTTGGGTAGAGCCTTGAGGAAGCAACGTTGGCGTAGTATACCCTCCCACAGTTGCACACCGACGATGCCAAATATGAAGAAGACGAAGAAACATAGTAACAGAACGTTGCCTAGCATAGGAAGAGTGTCGAGCAGCAGCATCACCAATATTCGCATACCTGTTGAGGATTTTATAGAAATAATGTTTTATAAATGATTGCTAAATAAGTGTGCATGATTGGTAAATTTATAAAAATGTATTAAAATATATATTTATAATATGTAAATTTATAAAAAATATTTTATAAAATATTTATAAAATATTTATAAATATTTATAAAATTCATCTAATTAATAAACATTACTGACTTTGATTGGAGTTTTCTTCGGATTCGCCAAAGCTTGATATTATTTTTATTTTCTTTATTATTATATAAATATTCGTGGCAATTTAAAAAAAAAATGCCATGTGGAGATTTGAATTTATCTGATGTAATATCATACATGTACATTCACAAATTTTTTCAGTCTGATTACTCTAAAAAGAAATTTCTAATAAAATCATTATTCGGAACAGTTTTCTAATGTCTAAACATTAAATAAATATTACAATCGCTAGTTCAAATTCTGTAAATTATAATAAGATTTAATTATTCAATTCACTAGAAATATATTTCACATAAGAGTGCTGACAACTTGTAATTTGAAAATCACGAAATAATATTAATAATATAAAATAAATTGAGATACAGATATTTAACCAAAAATCTATTATAAAAATTAAACTTGCGAATTTTAAGGAATGCATATTGTATGTTTCACACTTCCGTGATTCAACTTTTAATTTTGATCTTAATATCTATAACTTTATATCATATCTTGATGCAACTTTACTTGTTCTTGATCGATATGCTCCCTTGCCTTTGCTTCGTTTCAATTTCAAGATGAAATCAACCGTGAATGCGCTAGGATCTATAAGCGGCAGTTATGCGCCGACAAATGCACCGTGAAATCGACGACGAGAGCAAATCGGAGTTAACCGTCAAGATTAACTGTCAACCATCGACATTTTTGATGTATTGGAAGTCTCGTACTTACTTGGTATACGATTGATCGCTCGTAACGGCCTTAAAACTCTTATTGTTCGTATGGCTGACAGATTCATATTTTCCACATTTAGGCAGTATTCCAAAGCGCTACAAGCAAGTGCAAACAGATTTCTTCTTTAGTGGGTGTGTGTTTATTGTTCATACTTTTTAAACTCTTTTACGTTCATAGCAATCTTGTTCCGATTTAATAATATATTATATTATACATATTTATAATATATGTCGTGTAAAATAATATTTTTAAATTTAAAGAAAAAATTGAGAATTATAGTAATATATTTGATTCTAGACGGAAATCATATCTGAAGCATGATAAATAAAATACAATCTAATTAATTATCGTAAAAGATGTAATTATTAGAAAATATTATTTTTAAAACGTTACGATCTTTCTTATAAATTACACATTTAAATTACATATTACGCGCATATATTTTTCATAGATTTTACAATGTAAACATATTTCAAAAGAATGACAATCGAAATTAAGAAATATAATGAAGCAAACAAACGAGATCAAGTACTCACCCAGCTAGCACTATAAAGAAATCTAATCTATTCCAGGAATCCGCGAGATAAGTTCCTCTACCGTAAATCCCCATCGCCACCATCTTTATAGTCATTTCCAGAGAGAAGAAGGCAAAAATGATATCATCGAACATCTGGAAGAAGTAGGTAGGAGAACGCAACTTGATTAGGACAGTGAGTGCGATCGACGTAATTCCCCGTGATTGATTACGGGCACTCAACTAGAGGATTCGATTAACGTCCATGCCGTATCAGTAATTTTCTCATCTCTTTCCCATCCCATCCTTTTCCCATCTCCTCCCCTTCCTTTGCTAGACTAATTGCGAGCCGACCGGAAACCGTGTCAAGATGCGCGATCGATTAATTTGCTTATTGGCGCGCTATGTAATCGCTGCTGTTATGCTGTCTTCCTCCTCCTCCTCCTCCCTCCCCCCGTCAGCCCGTAAGTTGGCTTAATTGAATTGTAAATATCCTGATTCCGATATCGGCACTTTCCGTTCTGGCATGCAAATGCGAGCCGTTCTTATGGAAATGAACTCCCACAAATAAGTTTGATAAATTTTACTTTTTTTAAATCCGCGACGCGATAACGCGGATTATCCTTTTTTCCACTAGTCAGCTGTCACTTTTCGCAGAATAAGTACGTACCTGCAGTATCTTACATCGATTTGTTACGCACTGGTCGTCCACGCACGGCTGGTACATCCCGAGCGTGATGCAGTTAAGAAGGATCACCATCATGCTCACCCTTTCGAACCACGTGAGTTTTCATTAAGGAAAAGATAGATCGCTTTAAATATTTCTCATATTCTTTTCTAATCAAAGATTGTATGTGAATAATACATTGCTAAATAGCTCCTTATTAAAGCAATATAAAAGAAAATTTTTAAATATATGAAAAATATGCATATATTGCATAGAAAATAAATGAGATACAAATTTCTTTACTCGTGAAAATTATCTATTAAACATTAAAATACGGTAAAATTATTGTAAAATAAATCTTTAGAATAAATGTATCTTGATTGTCAAGAACACAAGATTTAATTGTTAACAGAACATATAATCTTATTCTGATAATGTGTTTTTCTTTTGACCGATAAAAATTAACTAGTTATGTACACATCGATTATTGTTGCCAAGTGACCGTCACCTAAACAGCGTCTTCTGGACATGTCTATTTAACAACTGGACAAGAGTTGCGTGATTACATCTAATCGCGTGTCTCTAATCTCTGTGCAAACAGAAAAAAACATCATGGACAAGAGTATACATGAATAAAATATTACGATTCGATCATCATTATATATGCGTTTTTTTCAAACACAATTTTTTTTCAATTTTATGATATGCACTATAATTTAGTACAGGGTCAAATCGGAATCGATAATTGGGATATTGTGCAAATGGCACAATGTAATGAGTTTCAATCATAAAATTACTAATTATTAATTTTCAACAGTTACAGGTTTTAATGAAATTGTGATATATATTTGAGTATTAAATCTAATTATTAATTACATGTAAATATTATTTTAAATTCTAAATACTAAATGATATATATATATATATATATATATATATATATATAGGATGAAGTAATATATATATATATATATATATATATATATATATATATATATTACTTCATCTTTTCAATATAATACTTTAATCTAGCTTTTTCGTAAATGATTGTATTTTTCATTAATATCTTATTAACATTTTTAATAATATTTTAATCAAGTTTTTCTAAATGCTGTTATATTTTATTATTAAAATAATTTATTAAAATATAGTTATTAATAATAATTATATTAATATAATTATTATTAAAATATTATCTTATTTATCGCATAATTTATGATGGGATTTCGAAAAGTAATATTTTATATATATGTAGATATATTATACTAATATAACATTCTTTCAAAAGAAAGATAAATCAAATTATACTAATGTAACACTCTTTCAAAAGAAAAATCGAATGCGTGATATGTAAGAATAAGAAACAATGATATGGATCGACTTCCTGCTTAAGAAATTGCGATTCGTGCTCCACCCTTAATTTATAGGACAAAGATAATGTCGCGATATCCATCACTATCGCGTGCAAATGATTATTAATGTGTTAGCCAGCAGGCTACTGACATCGAGTTTATACACGCGAGGCCGACGCCCTTTTCGAAAGGTTAAAAGTAAGACACATTATAAAATAGAGATTGCTGCAATCACACCGTGTCCGTCTGTGCAATTATTTCCGGCGCTACTTGTTGCGTCCGTGTAATTATATAGGCCTGAAAAATAATCCACGTCCGAATTATAGCGGATAGATCGCTACACCTTTGACAGATGAGAAAAATAAAATCGCGAAAATAGATAGGGCATAATATGACATTTGAACTTGAATCAATCTATCTTCATACATGGCCTTCGCTGCTTTTTAAAATATCCTGGCGATAAATGGCTCGACCGTGCGCCGAGAAATTGGTAGACTAAAAATAAATCGATCGTGGTTTATCACGCGAATATTTCGTACATCTCGATATTGGCTGAACGGTTCTTCAAGATATATTCTCGGCAGAAATCAAGAAGTAATCAGCCTAATGAAAGCGACAAAATCGACACACCTCAATTCGTCTGTCTGCGGATTAATCTGCCATTAAGCTTCTTGAAACATTTCCATTTAATTTTGGAAGAAATGTCATGATGAAAATATAATCATTAACAACTTGAGTGAACTTTGATCACGTAAAATCGGAAGATTCTCGACGAATTAAACTTCAACAGCACAAATTCTCATCTAATTTAAAGTGAATTCTAATTATGCAAATTAATTTTTTTATTTATAAATTTTAATTATACGTTTCCATATTTTTTTATGTAACGGTTAAAAAAGTTACCACTATACGATATTATTAAATTACAGAAAAGATATAATAAAATTAAGGTGTAATGTTTAATAAATAAGTAAAATTTTTCATTCAGATAACTAATCAAATAAGCAAATATATCTAATCAACTAAGCAAATGTAAAAGAACTCGTTAAAACATCTGAAATTCGACGTGTTAATAACATAAAAGATAAGTCTTTATTTTTCAAACGTCAATTAAAACTTTTACTGATGTTGCGGATCAAAGTATTTCAAAAGCGATCGCTTCTCGATTCGAATTTAACAGACAAAGTTGTACAATCTACGCAGCTCACCCACGCCGGACGCATGATAGATCGTTGTACGATCTGCAAACCGCAATGATATATCATAATAACGATCTATCACGCCGACACAATTTCGCGTGCCAGCCCGATATCAAGGGGCAGAGTCTGCGAGCGGCTTCTTAGCGTGCTTATACAAACTGCCGCGAGCACCTGTAACGTCTCATCTTTAAAGAACGGACAAAGGAAGGGGGATGCGCGTATTAAAAACTAGCACATCGACGGTTTTGACAGGCGGATAGCGAGAAACCGTCTGCGTTATCTGCTACCCACAAACGTGCACGGAGTGTGTTCGATCAATAAACGACCACTACTGAGCTCTTTCCAGCATGCAACCCTCGCATCTTGGCAAACGTCACTCGCTCGCTAATGCAAGGAAGTGATTGATAATAAACATTCGTACATTCTTCGAAATGACGATCACTCCCTTTATCGAATCTAAAACGAAATGGTTAAAAGCGGATTCGTTTTGTAGATATTTAAAATAAGACAGAAAATATGTGACTGAGAATGAAGACAAGCTTCTACTACTTTTTTTTACTTCATTTTATCTTTGCTCTCAAACTTAATATAACGGAAGAACTATTCAGGAAGAAATCTTGCGTGAAAATTTTTATTATTTATTTTAATCATCATCTCTTGAAGTATCAGCAGCAAATAAAATGTGACGTAATTATTAATTGCCACATCGATTTCGTTTAACCTTTATTTATCTTATTAGGCGCGATAAATGTAGCTTCAATACTTGATTGTTAATTACATTTTATATACGTATATTAGTGTGACATATATATACAGGGTATTTCTTAATAAGTGCGAAAAATTTTAAGAGATGATTCTTTGTCGAAAATTAAGGGAGGTTTTTCATATAAACATATACTCCTGCATCCCTCCGTATGGAGTTACATTCCTCCAAAAATGGGGGTAAAAATTAAGTTTTTATTTTTTCCTTAAATTTGGAACAAGTTAAAGAAGTGAAATTAGGTGGATATTTTCTACTAGTAAAAAGTTTATTTATTAATCTTTTTTGCAGTCTTCCGTATTGTTATAAGGGGATAAAACTAGCAATCTCTATTCAATTTTTTATTAGAACTTCTTAATGTTTATATGAAAAATTCCTCTTAATTTTCAACAAACAATCATCTCTTAAAATTTTTCGCACTTATTAAAAAACACCCTGTATATATATATCTCACAATTATTTATCAGCGAACACTGATAATAACACGACCTCAACACGTGATACTCAACACGTTAAAGTCATTTAATTATTATAGTATAATATATATACGTAATTATTAAGATTGTAATTGACAAAAATAGGAGATAAATATATATCGAAATAATTGTTTTCTTTTCTTGTAATAAATGCTCCAGTTCACATACGATGCATTCCGCATCGGTGGATGATACATCGGACAGGTATATCCGCTCAGGTAGAAAACGACTGAATGTACGTGAGACTTTACTCGTTGAACCTAATGGGTCGTGTTGTTGTTGTTGTTGTTAACTTTTATCCCCTCACAGTGCACGCACCGCCCATCACGCCATTTCTAGAAGGTTAATCATCTACAACTGCTACACGAAGGATGAACTGACGATCGGATCATCTAGATATTAAATGGCACTGAGAATTTTTAATAGCTATATTAAATATAGCAACGTATTATACAATAATCGTTAATTTTATCATCGATATTTCATTACGTTGTCCTATTCATTAAACATTTTTCCTTTTCTTCATCTCGATTAAATCTTATTTTTCAGATATTTATTTTTTTCGTTTATAAATATATTATTAATCTTTAATGTAGGTGGATAAATCAGAGGATAAGAGTTAAGCTTCGCATTATATTACGCGTTATATTCATCTTATACGTAAGAGAATATGTGTGGACGTTTCACACCTTTGTAAACCCATATCCTATAAACCTTTCAGTAACATTCAGCTTTTAATTTTAATATATGATACTTTCAATTCATAATACTAATTCCCTATGAAATATTAAATATCTGAACATTACAGAATAGAAGAAAAACACATAATATAAGAAAGTAATTATTTTAGATCAATACACATATCGTTCATTCATTATTACCCATTAACTCGATTGCTTTTCACTTACAGCAAGTAATGCAATAAAAAAATAATACCTATCCACGTTGAAAAATAAAAAAGCGTCAGAATCGAATGCGCATTTTAATATAAAAAAACAAATGCAAATGAAAATAATAATGGAAAAGACAGAGTTAAATTAACTTTATCCTCCACTATATATAATGAGATGTTCTAGAAGCGATGCTTCTGAAATACCTATCTTTCCAGAACATTTTCTTGCACAGAATCTATAAGAAATTATCTATGAAAAATGTAAAGCGAAAGAAACTTTGTAAAATAATATGTCGCAAGTTTGTAATTTTTTAGTTAAATATTTTAATGAGATGTTTAAATTTTCAATAAAATCTTGCTCGAGATAAAATCTAATTAAAATTAAATGATAAAAAATTTCTACGCTATTTTACTTACATCGTCGACCTATACTTAA